TTACTGGGTTTAATGGTGGTTTAATGGTGGCTTTACTGGGTTTAATGGTGGTTTAATGGTGGGATTTAATGGGATTTAATGGTGTTTAATGGTGGTTTAATGGTAGATTTACTGGGTTTAATGGTGGATTTACTGGGTTTAATGGTGGATTTACTGGGTTTAATGGTGGATTTACTGGGTTTAATGGTAGATTTACTGGGTTTAATTGTGGATTTACTGGGTTTAATGGTGGTTTAATGGTGGCTTTACTGGGTTTAATGGTGGTTTAATGGTGCGATTTAATGGTGTTTAATGGTGGTTTAATGGTAGATTTACTGGGTTTAATGGTGGATTTACTGGGTTTAATGGTGGATTTACTGGTGGATTTAATGGTGGATTTACTGGGTTAAATGGTGGATTTACTGGGTTTAATGGTGGATTTACTGGGTTAAATTGTTAATTTACTGGGTTTAATGGTGGTTTAATGGTGGATTTACTGGGTTTAATGGTGGTTTAATGGTGGGATTTAATGGGTTTAATGGAAGATTTAATGGTGTTTAATGGTGGTTTAATGGATTTAATGGTGGATTTACTGGGTTTAATGGTGGATTTACTGTGTTTAATGGTGGTTTAATGGTGGATTTACTGGGTTTAATGGTGGATTTACTGGGGTTTAATGGTGGTTTAATGGGATTTAATGGTGGGTTTATTGGGTTTAATGGTGGATTTACTGGGTTTAATGGTGGATTTACTGGGTTTAATGGTGGTTTAATGGTGGATTTACTGGGTTTAATGGTGGATTTACTGGGTTTAATGGTGGATTTACTGGTTTTAATGGTGGATTTACTGGGTTTAATTGTGGATTTACTGGGTTTAATGGTGGATTTACTGGGTTTACTTGTGGATTTACTGGGTTTATTGGTGGATTTACTGGGTTTAATGGTGGTTTAATGGTGGATTTACTGGGTTTAATGGTGGTTTAATGGTGGGATTTACTGGGTTTAATGGAGGATTTAATGGGGTTTAATGGTGGTTTAATGTGATTTAATGGTGGGTTTACTGGGTTTAATGGTCGATTTACTGGGTTTAATTGTGGATTTACTGGGTTTAATGGTGGATTTACTGGGTTTAATGGTGGATTTACCAGGTTTAATGGTTGTTTAATGGTGGTTTAATGGTGGATTTACTGGGTTTAATGGTGGGATTTAATGGGTTTAATTGTGGATTTACTGGGGTTTAATGGTGGTTTAATGGGATTTAATGGTGGATTTACTGGGTTTAATGGTGGATTTACTGGGTTTAATGGTGGATTTACTGGGTTTAATGGTGGTTTAATGGTGGATTTACTGGGTTAAATGGTGGATTTACTGGGTTTAATGGTGGTTTAATGGTGGATTTACTGGGTTTAATGGTGGTTTAATGGTGGGATTTAATGGGTTTAATGGAAGATTTAATGGTGTTTAATGGTGGTTTAATGGGATTTAATGGTGGATTTACTGGGTTTAATGGTGGATTTACTGTGTTTAATGGTGGTTTAATGGTGGATTTACTGGGTTTAATGGAGGATTTAATGGGGTTTAATGATGGTTTAATGGTGGATTTACTTGGTTTAATGGTGCTTTAATGGTGGTTTAATGATGGTTTAATGGTGGATTTACTGGGTTTAATGGTGGTTTAATGTTGGTTTAATGGTGGATTTATTTGGTTTAATGGTGGCTTAATTGTGGTTTAATGATGGTTTAATGGTGGATTTACTGGGTTTAATGGTGGTTTAATGGTGGGATTTGATGGGTTTAATGGATGATTTAATGGGGTTTAATGGATGATTTAATGGTGGATTTACTGGGTTTAATGGTGGCTTTACTGGGTTTAATGGTGGTATAATGGTGGGATTTAATGGGATTTAATGGGATTTAATGGTGTTTAATGGTGGTTTAATGGTAGATTTACTGGGTTTAATGGTGGATTTACTAGGTTTAATGGATCGTTTAATGGTGTTTAATGGTTGTTTAATGGTGGGATTTAATGGGTTTAATTGTGGATTTACTGGGTTTAATGGTGGATTTACTGGGTTTAATGGTGGGTTTACTGGCTTTAATGGTGGATTTACTGGGTTTAATGGTGAATTTACTGGGTTTAATGGTGGTTTACTGGTGGATTTACTGGGTTTAATGGTGGTTTAATGGTGGGATTTAATGGGTTTAATGGAGGATTTAATGGGGTTTAATGGTGGTTTAATGTGATTTAATGGTGGATTTACTGAGTTTAATGGTGGATTTACTTGGTTTAATGGTGGATTTACTGGGTTTAATGGTGGATTTACTGGGTTTAATGGTGGATTTACTCGGTTTAATGGTGGATTTATTGGGTTAATTGTGGATTTACTGGGTTTAATGGTGGTTTAATGGTGGATTTACTGGGTTTAATGGTGGTTTAATGGTGGGATTTAGTGGGTTTAATGGAGGATTTAATGGGGCTTAATGGTGGTTTAATGTGATTTAATGGTGGATTTACTGGGTTTAATGGTGGATTTACTGGGTTTAATGGTGGTTTAAGTGTAGATTTACTGGGTTTAATTGTGGATTTACTGGGTTTAATAGTGGATTTACTGGGTTTAATGGTGGATTTACTGGGTTTAATGGTGGATTTACTGGGTTTAATGGTGGATTTTTCTCAAAATAGGGTTTTCAAAAAAAGAACGGGTCAAACATCATGTTTCTCAGATAAGCATTGCCATCACTTTGGGAAATCCCTCATTACATCTCCGTACACACCCATATCAAATTGCTGGGCTTATCTCCACACCACATCCCAGTAATTCCCCATTAGTTTACATAAACATACCATTCTTAATGGTTCCAATAATTCCATCATATCCCCTTAAATCCCACCATAAAGCATTCATCAAATTGACATGTTCTTTGGTGACTTTAAGAAAAACGCGGGTAAAACCAATAAATCATCCCCCAAATCACCATAACATGGTACAAACATGTACAAACCATTCCCAAATGGGTGGTTTATGACATTGTTTTACCCACTTCATTCGTGACCACAATCCATAACCAATGACTGGGAGCTGTCGGCGCCTCATCCGTGCCGTCCCGCTGTACTTCCTGGGTCACCAAACAAAGCGTCCGTTAGTTGTGGCTAGGGAAGTTGGTTGAACTCATTGAGCAAACAATCTTGGCTTAATCTGATTGGTGGTGCAATAACCATCTTAAAAAAGATGAGTTCGTCAATGGGAAGAATCATCCCATATATGAAATGGAAAATAAACGATGTTTGAAACCACCAACCAGAAATGCATGAATGTGTATATCATTCTTATAGAGTTGGTTGGTTTCTAGATGTTTGTAGACCAATTTACAATTCGGTGGACGCTTCTTGTATTCTATGCTGGATTCACCAGTCATTTGTCTCTACACACCTGGCGGATAGCCATGGCACCTAGCCAAAATCCAACAAACACCCACTGGTTGGTGGTATACCTACCCCTCTGAAAAATATGAGTTCGTCAATGGGAAGGATTGTTCCATATATGAAATCGAACATAAAAAATGTTTGAAACCAACCAGCCTACATGTAATAGGCTACAATCCTCGAGAACGGAAGGGATAGCCAAACATCATGCCAGTGCCAAGTTTGGGGACACTCAGACAAAACCAATGCACAAAGGATGAACCCTGAGGCCGTGAGCAAATGATGGGCAAAGGCCGTGACTACCCATGACCCACTCATACCCTCTAGTAACATCTAGTAACCCACTTGTACCTTCCAGCAATTAATGAAAAATAGCAAGATAAACTCACCCATATGCTGATTTTCAAGGTGGTTTTCCACTGCCAGGCATGCTTCCCCTGGGGGTCACAGGAAAAAAACTGGCCAGCGCCGCCACAGCTCGACCCAAAGCACCAAGACTCCCGGAGATCAACCGATCACTGCTGGTTGACAGATCCAACACGGCGTTGGCAGCTGGAAACCACAAAGGCACTCGATAGATATTCCTCAGCGCCGAACATCAGGGGTCCTGATAAGTGTTGGCTGAGAGGGCTCGAAGGGCAGTATCACTCGGGGAAAGCATCTAACCAGCCAGATCTGGGAACACCACATGTTGATATGTTGGATTTTCTTAACCCAGTCCCCTATGCATATGGTAATGACTCCTCAAGTTTCACTGGGTTGCTATTAAGTTGCTTGGTATAATCCTATTGAGTCCAGTTAATTCCTATTACATCCAATTATATCCCCTTCTACATATCCGCCATATCCGCATAAAAATGATTGGCAAACATCTTCACTTGTTGTTGCGTCCCATGAACATGCACCTAATGATTCTCATTGGCTATGTATATCATCCCTCTTTATCATCTTTTTATCCGACATCTTTTCTTGCTATATATATATAGAAATTCCATGATGTTTTGTGCTGTTGTTCCCTATCCACTTCCCATGATAAAAGGTGGTGCCGCCTTTCAGATATGTTTCTTGGTTACCCCCATCCAACTAGTTTGATCTTGTTGGCTGGATATGGGCTTTCTTCTGTCATGGGGATCCCCACACCATGGTGAAAAGACTGAGTCATGGTCATGACGACTGGATGATTTGGCTTTCCCTAGCAAACCCCCAATCCAGCGAAATCCATCGCAATCCCATATGATTTTCCGTGGACCTCGAACTGTGGGGATTTTCCTTTCTTTTTCCTTGGAAAAACCGATGGCTTTTCCACAGCTACGTTAGTTTCCCCTGGGCCAAATCACCAATTTTTTCAGCCCCACCTTGGACCACCGCCAGTTCCGCACTCCGCTCCCCTCCAAGGCTCCCGGGCACCGCCTTGGAACTAGCCACGACGTGCGGCACCCGCAGGTTCTGCAGCAGGCTCGACAGCAGCTTTTCGGCATCCTTACGGCCCGAACGATGGACATCAATGGGACGCAGGGGGATGATTCGGACAAACACGGCGTAGTTTTTGTTGGTTGGTGGTTGACCTACCTCTCTCAAAAATATGAGTTCGTCAGTTGGGATTATTCTTCCCAATATATGGAAAAATAAAGGCCATGTTCCGAAAAACCAACCAGTTTTCTTTGAGGGATGGGATGATGAATACTCAACAGATTGCTACAGTGAAGATGATTGCCGATTTGTATGAGATGATTCGGTTCTATCAGTAATGAATTTAATTACTACAATATTCCTGAAAATGTGATATGCCATTTGGCAAAATCCCACATACCATTGGGTATTATATCCAGGATAAACCATTGATATCATAGATGGGATGAGGATTATTCGCCCTGTTGGCAATAACACACCCAAAGAATCAATGGCCATTTCAGATACCTAAATTGGAGATACGTATGATATGTAAGAACTATGTAAGGGCTATGTAAGAGGATAGGCCACCCAAATCTGGCTTTATATGATACAGTACCTCCATTTTAGGGTCCTGACATTCCCATTGAATGAAGGGATGGGATGGAGAGGAAGCTATGGAGATTTCATGGGATTTTAGTGGGGTCCGTCAAATGACGGGATGTTGGTGACTTAATGGAAAGTCAATGGGATTAAATGAATGCAAGGGCAAAAGGTATGTTAATTACGTAATCGAAATTTAATGGGATCTTAATCTAATGTAATAGGATAATATGGGATATGTAACCAATGGGATGGTGGTGGCATAGTCACATAGTCCAATACGGTTTAATTATGTATGTTAGCAACAAACAATGTGATGCCTAATCCACAATACCACTGTTTTAAGGATGTCTGAGTCATGTTTTTCCAATCCAACACGTTTTCTTCCGTGATTTTTGACTACGGGTTTTTGATGTTTAACCAGTACAAATAGAAAGTTGTGGAGGGCGGAGAGGCTACCTTTTTAGACAGTAAATGGAGGGATTGTCAATGGAGGGACAGTGTCAAACAAATCCGTGTTATAAAAAATGGAACTTCTTAAAATGGGGGTACCCCCAAATCATTCGCTCCAATAGGATTTTGCATCATAAACATTTGTAAACCATCCAGCTATTGGGGTACCTCCATTTTAGGAAATCATGCATCGTCCCAAAGGCTCTTCAGGCTATTCGAAGAGAATCTGCTCCAAAACAGCCCCAACAAGGCCCTACTTGCAACTGGGACGTTCGCCAAAAACCTCAAGAAAATTCGGAGAATGAAAAGAGATCAAAAGACATTGGCAAGAGTAAAACAAATCCAGACCATGGAACCCCACAGATTTTGGTTGGTTTTTTGAGACAAAAAACCTTTCTATTTGGTACCACAAGTCTGATCCACAGCGAACCCAATCACTATCATCGAATCCGTTGATCGTCCCTCTACGAGCCAAATCCCTCATCGGAGAAGATATATAATCCTTTGCCACTACCACTAAACGTCCACCAAATACTTAAAACCTAGGCTCCATTCTTTAATATTTGTTGATGTTGCCAGTTATGTTTTTCAATTGTGGCAATTAAACAGTAGTAGGGGGGCCAGAATACAAAAAATAAGTGATTCTGCACCCTTTATAATGGGAAACTATTTAATGACATTTTTTTAAAATCAGGATCCGAATTTTGAAATCGATGCATAGCAGTTCTTTTTAATCAGGCCTTAGATGTGAAAGGAACGCGTCTAAATCCAAATTTTGGAAATACAATGGATGTTAAAAAGGAATTTGATTGATTTTGAAATCCATTTGTCATTCTTTATGTTGATTTGATTATTCGGGGAAAGCTTCTCACCCTAATAACACATACCCCCCTATATAAAATAAAAACTACTCCAAGTCTTTATTATTGGAGGCCGGGGAAGGGGCGTCAGTAGCAGTAGGGTGAACGGTTTGTACATAAGCCGTTTGCGAACACGATACCAACATCTACCTGCTCTTTGGCATATTTTTTTCAATGGCAAGGTCAAGAAACGAAATGGCAAGGATTCTCATTGATGAAGATCATCTGGGGCTGAAATGGTAGTCCGAAAGTCAACTTTAAATGGCGGTCCATCAAGGCTGATCAATAGCAACTGTATTCAGACCTGCCAAGCACATCAATCAATGTCAATGCTCAAGAACAACCGTCCACCAGAAACACTGCAAAGAGACCATAGTGATGTCAAATGGTCCAAAACTTGGTTGAAGTCATCCCCAAACGTCAAACTTTGCAGGCTGCTTGGAAACGTCACTTGGTCCAAAACTTGCCTGAAGGCATCCCCAAACGTCAAACTCTGCAGGCTGCTTGGAAACATCACTTGGTCCAAAACTTGGTTGAAGTAACGCCCAAACGTCAAACTTTGCAGGCTGCTTGGAAACGTCACTTGGTCCAAAACTTGGTTGAAGGCATCCCCAAACGTCAAACTCTGCAGGCTGCTTGGAAACGTCACTTGGTCCAAAACTTGGTTGAAGGCATCCCCAATTGTCAAGCTGTGCAGGCTGCTTGGAAATGTCACTTGGTCCAAGTTTTGGTTGAATCCAGCCCAAAGGATCACTCGGTCCCAGCTGTCCCGTTTTTTCTTGAAGCGACGCCCAAGGGTCAAACTTTGCAAACCGCTTGGAAAAGTCACTTGGTCCAAGCTTTGGTTGAAGTCCATGCCAAAGTCCAAGCTTTGCAGACGGCTTGGAAACCTCACTTGGTGCAACTCTTGGTTGAAGCGATCCCCGAACGTCAACCTTTGCAGGCTGCTTGGAAACGTCACTTGGTCCAAAACTTGGTTGAAGGCATCCCCAAACGTCAAACTTTGCAGGCTGCTTGGAAACGTCACTTGGTCCAAAACTTGGTTGAAGGCATCCCCAAACGTCAAACTCTGCAGGCTGCTTGGAAACGTCACTTGGTCCAAAACTTGGTTGAAGGCATCCCCAAACGTCAAACTTTGCAGGCTGCTTGGAAACGTCACTTGGTCCAAAACTTGGTTGAAGGCATCCCCAAACGTCAAACTCTGCAGGCTGCTTGGAAACGTCACTTGGTCCAAAACTTGGTTGAAGTGACGCCCAAACGTCAAGCTTTTCAATCTGCTTGGAAACTTCACTTGGTCCAAAACTTGGTTGAAGGCATCCCCAAACGTCAAACTCTGCAGGCTGCTTGGAAACGTCACTTGGTCCAAAACTTGGTTGAAGTGACGCCCAAACGTCAAGCTTTTCAGGCTGCTTGGAAACTTCACTTGGTCCAAAACTTGGTTGAAGGCATCCCCAAACGTCAAACTCTGCAGGCTGCTTGGAAACGTCACTTGGTCCAAGCTTGGGTTGAATTGATTGCCAAAAGTCAAAATGTCAAGGCTTTCGGGGAGGCGGTACAAGCTTTCAATGGTAATATTGCCTACTATCTGCGTCACCCCTTCGAGTGCAACCTCTTCCTCGGAGATTAGGAATCCTTTGGCATAGCTCCATGCAGCACACAAACTCGTTGGAACATAAGTGCAGCTCAATGTCGCAGCCTGTCCTGCAATGTTCTGTTCTCGCAATGTTTGGTGAAGGAGCAGTGGTGAAACAAGGTGGTGGAGCACAAGTCTTGACCCTCTCTTGGACGGCAGCTTCTTGGAAACCAGGCGGTGCACTTCGCGGCCCAGGGTGGAATGATCGAGGGTCAGGATGCAACCTTCACCATTCAGGCATCTTACGTCAAGTTGAATCTGTTGAGATCCACCAGCTTGTGGCACATAGCCAGACATAGCCACAGGTCGCCTCTTTGGGCGTTCCACTTATGGCACTTCACCAGCTGTGACCCAAGAGCCACAGAGCTGCGGCCGTACTATAGACCTTCATTCAGTTCGCGGATTTTCCAGCAAGCCACGCTTGATAAAACCAAAGGGCAACATCTGAAGTGTGTGTTTGTTTTCCCAACATATCCTCAACTATATATCCCAATCATATACCATAACCTTATATATGTAATTTATCTGGGTAAATCATAAGACTATCACTCACCTGAAACTTACGGCTGGAGATGATTCCGAAATAAATTCACCATGATTCTATAGCTAGGTCACTACAATTTACTCAGCTTTCTCCCTGTGGAAGCTCCAAGTTGGACCCTCGCAGCCACGCGTCCGTCTGGCTCGGCATCGAACCGCCCGCAGATCCCGCGTTCGTCTTTGCCGTGCGGGGCACCAGCGGCCCTGCGCCCAGCATGGCGTCGGACCAGGCGCTGGAGAGGCCCAGGTGCTGCTGACCTACAGACGTGGCCAGAAATGGGGATCCCCAATAATAACTGGCGTATGGATGATTTATAGCCTTATATGGTGTATGGTTTATTATACTAGTTTATATGGATGATTTATAACTGGCGTATGGTTTATACTGGTCTATTTGGTGTATGAATTGTTTGTAGCCTCATCTATGGATGATTTATAGCCTCAAACCTTAAACCATATAAATTGTTTATCATGGAAAATCCATCTATCAATGGAGGATTTAGGGGTATACCCCCATGTTCGGAAACCTCCATTTGGGGGATGGGTGAAAACCTATGAATTTACCATGTGACTGAGGGAATAACCAGCCATTAACCAGCTATGACTTAGCACGGTTTTGACCCATAACCATTTCAGGTGCCGATTTATTGAAAGTACCTATACCATATATAAGGCCTAAAGTTTGGGGCTATGTAAGGGGATATGCCCCCAATTTCTATGTTTTCATATGGTACGGTACCTCTATTTGAGGGTCCTGAAATCCCAATTGATTATTCCTTGACCCAAAGAAAATAAGATTGACATAATCACATCTAAGATACACATAATATTACAGTAAATCAACATGTTAACCATTTAAAATCACCGTCTTCCCTCGTGTTTCCTAGTTAAATCCACAACTTTACGTGCGTGGTCAATCAGTGTTTGTTTTCATCTATGAAACATCCACATTGTGTGATCTGTATATGTCTGCATGTAATATATATATATATATACTTGTTTATAAATTATGGGCTTAAGAACCTAGAAGAACTCAAAGTTAAGGCTTGAACATCCCAAAAGCCGCTTCAGATGCAGGCCATGGAGTTGGCGAAGGTATCATGGGGAGATGTTTGGTCAGTGCTGAGATTGTCACCATGAAACGTGATGATAGAAAAATGGTGTGACTACCAAAAGCATCTCAAAGTGTTGTGTACGATTAGCTCTACACCAGCAGAATGGCCATCGTCAGTATGGTCATCCAACCATTGTACATATCCGCGCCAACAAGCTGCTGTGCCAAGCAAGTTGTTGCAAAGGTCGCAAATCGGAGGGAGACCTAAGAGCCACATATGAAGCACTGCTCAGGCAACTCATCCCCCCAAAAAAAGGTGAACATCCAACTAATGTTGAACCCACCATCCAGTGTTTTATTCCTTCAAAATCCATTTTGCGTTCTCTAAATGCCACTTGTTCTTGGTAAATATCTGGGGCACCCCCTGCACCATGCGCCATGATGCACTCCCTGTCAAGAAATGGGGGATTGACCAACATTTTACGGTCGCACTGCTGCAGGGCTATCACGAAAAACTAGTGTCTGTAGGTGTCCTTTTCCCATCGAAGAAAAAGGAAAACGACCCTGTCAGAGCCATGTCAGTCCTTCCTTACAATGACAACCCGAGCCAGCTCCACATGAATCCCATAAGTTTTTTAATATCACCCAAAAATGCAACACCTAAAGAAATCCCAATCCCATTTCAATAACAATGCCGGCTGACTTCATGCTCCAATGGAACTCTTGGGTCTCCCAAGATATCTGGCCATCCAGCTGTCAGCAATTTCCATTACCACTGCAGCCCCAGGGACATCTGCTGCATCAGCACTTCCCCCGGCAGATCTGTCACTCGCAGCGGCAGAGGTCGCTGAAGGACCAAGGAGGCCCAGGAGAGGCGCAGCCAACTCAGCGCGTCCTGGGTGTCCTGGGTAGGGATTTATGGTGGATTTATGGTGGATTTATGGTGGATTTATGGTGGATTTATGGGAAAAAAACAAATATTGATATCTGTTCAGGTAGTTCAACCAAACACGGGGTTTCAGGATGTTTCAGGCTGCAAGTTGAGTGCAATTGATATTAAGACACCTGCATCGAGGGGTTTCAGTTCTATTCATGTTTTCACTCAGAAATACTTGGGTGGTTGGAGAAAAAAAGATCAGATTGGAGAGTTGGAGAACTTGATTGGAGAACACTGAACACATGAAATGGGAACAACATAAAACCACATGGAACCACGCGAATTCATGCAATTGTTGAAGGGTTACCAAGAATCATGTGGCATCCCTGATTATTTTTTGAATGTGCATTATGTGTATTTTAAACACATGTTGATTTGACAACCGGGGACATAACCAACCACTGCAGAAAGATAAATGACTGATACAGGGAATTAGTCAAGTCACTCAGAGTCAAGCGTGGAAAACACGCTAAATAACAATCGACAATCATCTTTCTCAGCAAAAATTACCCCATTGATTCACAGAATTTATTGAAATACTTTATGTATCTTTACGTTTCACTGAAGAGTCCTATCTTTTTGGCTTGGATGAATAGTCCACTTTAAATAGCTGACACGAATCCTCATGATCCCTCATGAAATAGTATGATTCACCTATTTTATCTGGCTGAATTAATTATGATAATTCACTAACCTGAAATAACTGTTATCACTATATACATACCAGACATGTGGATTCCGATCTCTCCAGTGGCGTCACAGCGAGGTCATTGTATGTAGATTATTCAACTATATGTGTATATATATTTATATAAAATAGAATTTATACATATTATATACATATATATATTTCCCCATTGTATCCCCATGATATCACCACTATATCCTACTTTTCTTGGTGAAAATGATCTTCAGCAAACGAGCTTCTCCATCGGCCACCTGGAGAAGCTTCTCTGCTTCCTTCGATAGGACACCTTAGTGGCACCAATTTTCGGGCACCTTGCGCCTGGGCGAAGTTGGTTTATAGCTGGCTCAAGTATAAACTATAAATATGATAGATTATATGTTTATATATGTTTATTTTTAGCTGGTTTATAACTGGTCATAGTCTATTTGCGGCATAATTATATATACATATATGCCGTGATATGTCGTGACATATCTTGATATGTCATTAGTTGGTTTACACACTATCTCAGGGGGACCCAAAATTACCAAACAAAAACGCTAGTAGTTTGTACATCTTGAACTACCGAAAAAAAAACGACCGAGAAACCTCTGGTGTTTTGATACCTCCTCATCACTGACTTGCCTATGGCTCAATCATGCTCAATCTATACACAAAAAACAAACACAATCGCTAAAGCTGCATGCGATCGGTTGCCTTCTCCGGGTATTGAATCTATGGCCCAACCATGGATGATGATCCTGAAGTTGGCCCAGTTGCTGTTCATGGATCATGAACTTTCCATCGCAAACCAGGAAAAAAACATTTGGAGGATGATTTCGCATAAACCATAATTACTATAAACATACTATACTATGGACATATAGAAACCATATTAAATCATCGTCCGTCCTTTCGTGGTTTGGTCGGCCAACGAGGTCACTGGTCAGCAGTCGACGTTGAAGCGGGGGATCTTAGCAATGACGTGTAACTGTGAAATTTCAAGGTCAAATTAGCAAATAACGCATTCACATCCATTATCCATAGGTCAAATTGCCATCAAATTCTATGTTTTTTACATTATTCCGAATTATTCCCAAAAATGCCCAAACTTCACACTGATTCCAATGCAGACAGGGAAGTCTAACACCAAACTTGCCACCAATGCTTGAAACCGGCTTTACGGTCCATCCCTTGTAGTGGATTGGGAAGATCCATGGGAACATCATCGACTCAGCATATCCAGGATTTTCATGGGATTTTCCATGGGATTTTCCCCAGCAAAAAACCTCCATTTATTGTGGATCTTCCTACATGTTCCTATATTTTCCCATTTTAAAAAAAAACAAACATACATTTTGTTTCATCCCACTGTTCAGCCACTCCAGGACGGCAAGCCAAGGCACCTAGCTCTGCACAGGCCCAGCAGACCTTGGCACTTTGCGCCAGCTGCAGCGGCTCCTGCAGCAGCTGCTGGAGCAGCTTCTGCAGCTCGCGGCTGTCCTTAGAGCTGAGCAGCTGACGGGGACTGGACCGTGCGGAAAAAACTGGGAAATGATATGGGAATCTAACACACACTGAGAAATGAAGATATGCTGCAGATGGATATAGTTGGTTTGGTTCGTCCAAGACAATCCTTAAGATTGTCACTTACATCCAGTGTGAGTTTTCCCTATGTTGGTTAGTTTCATATCCTTAATCCTCTTTAACAGTGACATGATGCATTTTTAACAACCTATGTAGATTTGACATATAACCACAATTGTCCTACAATTCACAACCCCCAATTGATAGGTAAGTTGGTTTATAGTTTTGTTTACTTTGGTTTCTTGCAGATATATCTATAGTTAGACCGCTGAACCAAATCATGTACATCTTAGGCAATAAAACATAGAGCCCAGAGTGAACCAGTATGGCCAGGTGATCATCACTTATCTAACCGAGATCAAAGACCTATACCAAATAAAAGAGGTCACTGTGCCTCCAGCATTTAACATTTACCGGTTCAATGGACCCACAATGTTGCTGCAACACAAACCCGCCTGTTCAATGGACCTGCAATGCAACCTTGAGTTGATGTACATGGTAGCCTGGTAGGCTTTGCAAGCCGCCAAATTTAAAGGAAACAGTTCACTTTCTACTCCACGTTGATTCAGACGTGTTTTTGGCATGTTTCATCTCCTTTCTGCCTTTTCGATCTGGTTTTGTCTGGAAATGGGAGACTCTTGATGCCAACAGAGAAAAAAGGCATCTTTCATCATCTTTCATCATCTTTCATCATGTTTCCCTTGTTGTTCCTTTTGAAATGGCTATATTCCACGTTTTTCATCGTTTTTTCCATGTTTTCATCGGTGGATCCCACATCTTTAAAGGTCACCCTCCGCCCCGTTCTGCGCCGCCCAGCTTCGACGCCCAGCTGTGCACAGGAGAAGACAAGCTCCACCGCAGAGTCGCGCCAGCCATCGTCGGATTGATGGTCCTGTCGATGGCATTGGATAATGGGAAGGACTACATGAATATTACCCATAGGATCCATGTATGCTATATATGGTAACATTTACCATCAATATACCCCCAATGTTAGCATATATACCATACATGGATCCTATGGGTCACAATATTACAATATTCATGAATATTCAATAAATAATGGCATCGTACAACATGAATATTAGAATCCCCAGTTGCTATTGAATTTGTTTAACATCAATGGGATAGCAATGGGACTATAGTGGGATCACATAGACGGATCAACAAAGTGATTGGATTTAATAGAGGTAACACGGGAATAACGATCAATCATGATTAATCGATTAATCAATTGGTTACTCCACATAAAGCCAAGTTTTTTTTGGGGGGATATCTAATCCGATTGTAATGGGGATAATCCACTAAACATTGACTCCAGTCAGTGGGATCATAACGGCTACCATATTGACGTCAATATCTACTGTAGCATGAATGGCTAGCCAATGAATTAGTGGTACATATTATTATTATCTTTGGGTCTGACAGATAATGAATATATACAATATGTTGGTCATTAATAGATATTATATGATATTATAGTTTATTAATAGATAGATATACCATATAATATACCATATTGTAGATTGTTGTCATATCTATATATGTATACTGTCATTGTATCAACAGTTATAAAATCAAATGTCCATTGTTATGTCAAGAGGATCGAGGTCCATCTATCGGGATGACGATGATCATAGATGGATTAACCAATGTAATTGGGATTTCATAAGGATGATATACCGTATATATATATATATATATATCCATCATGAATTGGTGTTACGTAACGGGTTAATTCACTAGTTATTGGGATTCGATGAGGATACTTGATGGGACAATTGAGGTTGTTGGGTTTTGTTGTGTTTGTTTTCTCCAGAAAGCCGTACAACTTGCAGGATGTATCGGTTGAAGAGGGCATGAAGGGGACACAATGAAATGATGTATTTTTTCTTGGCCACTCATGAAACAAAGTATGCTGATAATCATAGTCTGGTTGGTGGTTTCAACCCCTCTGAAACATATGAGTTCGTCAGTTGGGATTATTCTTCCCAGTATATCATGGAAACATCCATTAAAATCCATTAAAATCCATTAAACCACTATAATCCATTAATCCCAAGTGTTTCTGGAAAGTCATAATCCAGCCACATTCCAAACCACCAACCAGTCATAGTTTTATTTCTGTGAACCGGTGGTGGATCAAAATCCAACGCCCCAAAAACCAATCTGTGAGCCGTGCAAAAACGTCCCAAGGGGATGAAAACCGTGGATGATCAATGCAAATTTTCACCATTTTGGAAAGCAACAGTCTGCTCCAATAACAAAAAGATCTGATCAGAATCTGCTGCCTTTTGCAACCCCAACCTGCTGCCAAGTCTTGAGTGTGCTTTGTTTGATTCATGTGTATTGCTGGTTTTATTTAGTCTTTAACAACTGATGTCATCCACACCAGACATCAATGAATCTCATGTGGCATCTACATGTTGAAGGTGCTAATATTTCCCAACCGGGCCCCGGCAGTAGGAAATCACAATTTCCATTTGTAGTAGGAGAACCAAGACAAAAAGTTCATCTACTTCCAACTAGTGGAATTCTCAACAAATGGATTCACAACTCATCAATTGTTAGCCGTGAAACATTGGTTTCAATTCCAGATACCTGTCATTAAAAACTCGGTGATCTTCCCCATGTTCTGCTGCTTGAATCCACAGAATTTAGACATGAATTCAGCCAATACATATCTACATAATATATATATACACATAACTTCTATAGCTCCCTTGGAATTTCCAAATGCCCATCAACTAATTTCAACCCAATGCTTTATTAATTCACCTTTACACTTAATTCACCTCTACACAACAAGTATATATTAATTTCAACGTCCATCACTCCTTGAAGGACTTGAACCCCCAAATCTTTGGATGGTCATAAAATACGGCCACACCAGAAAAGACTAAGGTTGACCCAAGGTCCTCAAATAAAACCATGTTTCATAAATCCCATAACTCCCATATAGTTCTCAGAAAGTCTGTGATCTTCAAATCATTTCAGATCCCATAAATCCTACTAGCCTTCACTAATTCAGTAGGTAATTTGCACATGTTCAATAGGTAAATCAACTATCAATGGGGATATTAGATTCCAACATAGATCAACTATCAACCATAGGTTGAAACTCCCCAAAGTCCCCAAACTATTGAAAACTCCCATAGGTTGTCAACCCTATTTTTGATCAATCACAGCGCAGCGTATTCGACCACTTCAGCGCCTGGCAGATCTTCCCCAGCGCACGGTGGAACTTCTCGTCCGGCAGCAGCTCACTGCGCGCCTTGGACCAGAGCTCCGGGTCCGTGGTGAGGGCGCTCAACCTGGAGGTCTGAAGCAACAGAAAAAGGTAGGGGAAAATCTATTCATGAATGGTGACTTTGGAAAGGGGAAATGATCCATTAATTCATAGAATTTCCAACAGAAATGATCCATATTCATGTAGGGGAAAATCTGGTGACTTTGGAATTTCTATGAATTAATTGATCATTTCTTGAGGAAATATGGCAAATTAATAGAGGTTTCTTGGATAGGGAAGTTTCCTGGCTACATCCATCGAATTCGTAGATGATCCAAATTTGTTCGGAGAGTTCCTTCCAATCTGTTTTTCACCACCTGTCAGGTGACTGTCTTTAGATTGTGTGTCAGTGCCTCCTCCTTCTCGCCTCCTCCCTTTTTGATTGAACTCTTGAACTCTTCACCAGTCCGTCTCCTTGAAACCCAATGTTCTGCTAGTTAAGTCATGAATTAACTATCCTACATATTGTATTCTGTTGTATCACCATTTAAATAGGTTCCATCCCATCAACATGAAATATCAGCATGGCTTTAACCATTCTTTCTTCAATATCTATATTCGATATCCATTGAAATTCTCTACTAAATATTGAATATCCATTGAAATATCTAGCAGTCTAGCAATACTAAAGATCCATTAAATATCCACCCCTTCCACCAGCCCCTTCCACCATAAACCCAAGGCACAGTCGTTGTCGCGTCTCCGGGCCGCTGCGCAGTTGCCGCGGCAGCTGCAGCAGCATGGCGCGCAGCAGCCGTAGGTCAAGAGGACGACCGGTGAGATGACGACTGGAGGGCAGCCACTCCAACAACTCCTTGGTGATTTTTGGTTGGGAAAATCTGGAGAAATCGATAGGGAAACCATGGTGCTTAACACCGAGAGCCGTTCCTTGGGATTTGGAATGTGTTGTTTTTGGGGAGGATTTCGAAGCAAAGGTTCTGGGATCGATGTCTATCATTGCTCAAGAACCTGGTGATAGAATAGATAGATATTGATTTTTGGCTGGTTGGTGGTTGACCTACCCCTCTGAAAAATATGAAAGTCAGTTGGGATTATGACATTCCCAATATATTATGGAAACATCATTAAAATCCATTAAAATCCCAAGTGAATGGAAAGTCATAAAAGCCATGTTCCAAACCACCAACCAGTTGGTATTCGCAGAGAGGTACATAGTACAGATATTCTTTGGGGAAATCAGTGGATTTGGAAAATCGCCAAAACGCCCTGCTTTTTTACCCCATGGCCCATGCTAACCCCCTGGGAAAAAGGTGTCAAAAGAAAGCTTGAACAATCTATCATCATTTCAAAGTGATGTTCATCATATAATTAAATAAATGCACATTGATTATTATATATATATATATTATATCTATACATAGATTTATAAAGACAAAGAAGGATGGGAACATAGCGCCATGGAGCTCTTGGGTTCTCCGGCCATCAGCCAATACCATTTAGTTTCATTTTGTGCATATCCCTTTTGCCTTACAGGAAGTACACAACCCAGTTGAGTTTTGGTTTGGTCCGCCAACATCAAACCTTTCCGCTTCAAAAACAGGCGAAGCGGATCTATGGGGGCATGGAATCTTCATGAGTTCACAGTTCAGACACGTTCAGAGCCCCTGATCCAAACCTTGGGCTTTGGGATGATCATCCCCACTGTCTGGGATTCACCCTGCAGTTTGAGGCCAACACGTTACCAGCTGCCTTCGCCAGATCCAACACCAGAACCATACTGGGAAACCATCTCATCACTATGGGATTTTCCATCTCATCACTATGTGAAAATCAATGGGATCTTCCCATGGAAATCATCCAGCGAGCTTGGGGGTCCATGACTATGGAAACCAAACCACATCTACCCTCTGGTAAACTAGTAACTAACAGTTTGCTATTAAAAATTGCCATAGAAATAGTTGATTTACATATTAAAAAACGATGATTTACCATAGTTGATTGTTTATTTACCAGAGGGTATAATTGATTTACCTATCAAAAATGGTGGATTTTCCCATTAAACATGGTGGATCTTTCCAGTTCGTCATGTAAACGTTTACCAGGCCGGGTATTGGATGATGGCTTCGCCAAGAGTCCACAGCCAACTCACCTGGGCACACCCATCCGAGCCCCTTGGTTCCTTTCCTGAGCGGCTCGAGGGCCGGACGGCAGGAGTTCAATTTCAGTATACCCATAATACACATCTGGTTGGTGGTTTCAATCCCTCTGAAAAATATGAAAGTCAGTTGCGATTATGATTCCCAATATATGGGGAAAAATGTTCCAAACCACCAACCAGACACAAATGTTCGACAAACTCTGAATACATAGATTGCCGCACCAACAAAAACAAGCTCAGAACTGAAAATGTCCCGTGTTCAACCTGAAATATCATTTAAAGATAGCCGTTCACTTCATTTCACTTCCTTCACTTGTTTCAGACAGTGATTGACCACAAGAGTGCAAAACATCCGATGCTTCTGGGGATGTGCGATACCAAGCCTACTGTGATTGGCTCTGTAATCACATATCCACCATGCTAATTACAAACACACCCAACACTCAAGCATCACGCCCCGCTCTTATGGGGTCGCTCAAAACAGTCCTGCTGACATCGGCAGGTACATGTCTGAACTTTGCATGTATATATAGTTCATCCCAATATCAAGTTTACCAAAAAAACATGTCTTTGACAGGGATTTAGATGCCCCCTTTTGTTCAATTCCCTTTTGTGCTGACTAAATCCTCAGTAATGCTCACTACCTTGCGGCCTCATCCATGTTCATCCCAGCATGTTTCACGGCTTAAGAAAAAAACCTACAGAAGACCAACACAAAACATTAAAACAACATACAAAAACAAACAAATGATAAACAATGATAAACGATATTGCATCCAGCTAAGGTTGAACAAAAAAACATTAAAACAAACAGGCAGGGGCTCTCCAAGCGAGTGCGGAGGTGCTTCATCAGGTCTCCTTAGTGATACTCAGGAGGTTGCTTTGTTCCCATTACATCACCATCTGGTTGGTGGTTGACCTACCCCAATGGTGGTTAATGGTGGTTAATGGTGGTTCATGGTGGTTAATGGATATATATCTGGTTGGTGCTTTGAACCCCTGTGAAAAATATGCGTTCGTCAGTTGGGATGATGATTATTCCCAATATGTCATGGAGCCATCCATTAAAATCCATGAACAAATCCATTAAACCACTATAATCCATTAATTCAAGTGTTTCTGGAAAGTCATAATCCAGCCATGTTGCCATGTTCCAGTCACCACCAACCAGCCATTTGATATGGGATATGACTATTGGTTCGTAGAACAAATAGGGCACCTCAAGAATTCCATGGTTTCTGGGACTTTTCTTGTCATCAAACACTGGCCACTCAATGGAATGTAGATTCATACATTTCCTTTTTGTTTTATCTAAGAGCTGATAGTATGCGCAAGTGTGGTAATCTCATAAAACATCATAAGCGATGCTGACAAGGATCACAAGCTTGACCAACTTCACAGTTTGACAATCTGGTTGGTGGTTTGAACCCCTCTGAAAAATATGAAAGTCAGTTGGGATGATTATTCCGAATACAGTATATGGAAAAATAAAAACCATGTTCCAAACCACCAACCAGCCATTTGATGGGATATGACTATTGGTTTGTAGAAAGAATAGGGCACCTCAAGAATTCCATGCTTTCTCGTTTTTCTTGTCATCAAAACTGGCCACGAGGTGGCCGATCGGGATTAAACACGATTTTACCATCTGGCATTCAGACATGGCAAAGCAAGAAACACACATCTTAAACTGGAAAAGCATCTACAGACGGGGGGGAGTTGCCATGTTTGACTGCCAGAGGGCCCAGACTTCCAAACTCAATCTCCAACTCTCTCCAACCGTGTGAAACATGAAGTTGACTACAACTAGCTATTCAGAATCATTTGGTGAACTGATGAACCATTGAAACTTTCATGATTTGGTCTGATTTTGGGCAAGGTGTTGAAACTTGGAACCAACTTGGTGTTGGAACCGCGAAATGAAGTCCATTATGGACCACAGAATTCCATGGAATTGAAGATCGACAGTAACGCAAAATAGCCCCTTTGTCCAAGAAACAAATTCCATGGACAACAAATCCAATCCACACATCTTAGCGTAAAAGGAGCATCACCAATAACAATCAAACATTAAACATGGCCGACTGGTTGGTGGTTTTAACATGTTTTAACCATCTTGAAAAATATGAAAGTCAATGGGAAGGATTATCCCATATATTATGGAAAAAATCCAAAGCACCAACCAGCCAATATGTGACCATTTAGATTTGAATACACGCAGCAAAAAACATCTGGGTTTTCAAACTGGCTGTAGTGTATCTCTCATGTATTTCTCCATGTACACCTGAAACAAAACTTAACACTCACCTACAGTAGCCGCAGCCCCCAAAAAACAACTAGAAAGCAATTCATCGCAATGTTGCTATATGTTTTTCTTGTATTTTCTTGTTCTATCTCTTGGGAGGTTCTTTTCTGGTTGGTGGTATACCTACCCCTCTGAAAAATATGAGTTCGTCAGTTGGGATGATGACATTCCCAATATATGGAAAGTCACAAAACTCCATGGTTCCAAACCACCAACCAGTTAAGAATATGGATTCGAATGGATGGTTTCCTCTTGACATTCACCAAGCAGTTTTGTTCCTCTGAAAAACATCGAACAAAACCCAGCGATTTTCTCACGTCAAGCAGCGTGGCAGCTCGTCGGATCGCAGCTCTGGCGGTAGACGTGGCCAAAGCTGCAGCAAGGCCAACAATTCTTCGGCAAGGTACTTTGCCTCACATCCCGGATCCACATCTGGCGTTGTCCCAAGACAGAGAGGACAAGAGATATATTTTAATATATATTAATATATGATATATATATATATAGTTATTCAATATATGTATTATCTCAGGCGAAATATCTGTTATCTATTGTTCGGATAAACCGACTTGGATGGTGAGCAAATGGAGTATATCATATAGTATATCATAAAATATCCCACTAAAAGGGAACTATACCAGCTAGTAAATAGTGACCAAATGGGCCACAGCTCAGCCGGGAGCATACATGCAGAACTGTAGAAGAAAGCGGGAACCACAGATCCATCACACTATGAACTATCATGTTTTTCTTTCTGTTTTCTCGGTGATATGAGATCAACAGCTGTGTCGAGCGGTATGGAACAGCAACAAACTGGAATTTGGAATGTAGGCTAATAATATTTCAATCTATAACATAGCTATGGAACAATTGCCATTTATAGATGATTTACCCTTTAAAAATCAAAAAACTTGTGATTTTCAAGAGCAAACAGTTCAATCAGCAGAGGACCCAGATGTCTCCCTCTCCGCTGGAATCCGCTGCATCCACACGCCAAGTCGCTTGCTTCTCGGCAACACGTGCCCAAAAGATCTTCAGGAGCTTTCCTGTGAGATGTGTTTGAAAAAGCGAGCAGCGGTGTTTGAATATGTCTAGGTCTATCGAAAGATCACAGAAATGAGATGATCCGAGAGGATCATCAGTTACCATGTTTGAACAATAACCCCCTCAGCGAATGGAAATCAAAAAGCGTGAAGCCACCAAGCTGGAGTATAGGTATCCTCCAAACGATACAAAAACCAAACACCGTCAATGTAATACGAATCCAAAACTGCAACACCGAACAACACCTCGCGCCCCAACAAATTCATGGCAGAAGTAAAGTCATCAGGCAAGACCAACATTTGGAATTTCGAACTTAACAAAGGAAATCTGGGAAAACCCAAACAAGAACGTGGTGCCAAACCGCCATAAACCTCGACAAGAAATGGAGGGTTTTCTCCATCACATGTCTGGTGAGTCATTGGGTATGGCAATTGTAATTTGGAACCCCAACCAATATAAAACAAATATATTGAAAACGATATAAAACCATATAAACATCATATTAAACCATCTAAACATCATATTAAAACCAACAAATCCACATAAAACATCATAAAACCACATCAAACCCATGACTGCTAAAACTGAAATCAGATGAAACAAAAACACATATCAACATCATTAGCAAGCAAAGAAAAACAACAAACATGCAACCCCCAAGCCACATCCCCCAACCGCAGCTTCGCCCAGCTTCGATCGTTCACCTTTGCTGCATCCAAGCCGGCCAGCAGCCGCAAGGTATCGGGCGCTGAAAAGGAACCAGACTTGGACATGGCCTGCGGAAACGGCTGGTGGATTTACACATTTCAAAATTGGGATTTTGTGGTGATTTAATGGAAGATTAGTTGGAATATATGGTGATATACCCCAGGCATGGTGGATTTAATGGTGATTGAATAGTGATTTCATGGGAATATCGTGGAAATTTTATGGGAATTTAATCGGAAAACCAACGATAACCATGAAATAAGCAACAAAAATAGAGATTTACCAAAATAGATGGTGTATCGTGGAAATACAATGGGAATATAATGGACGTATAATTGGTAAACATTGGTAAACCCAATAGTAAACCCAACAGTAAGCCATTCCCAACAGTACTAAACGTAATTTAATTCATGGAAAATTAATGATGATTTAATGGTGATTCAAGGTAATGAAATTCAGTTTAATCAACCATATATAATTTCATATAATGCAAAATGAAGAGCAATATCAACATGTATTAACTTGTTTATTTGCTCCATGGTTTTCACAACACATATCAGGCATTCCAAGCGGTATTTGGATGTTAGAAACAAAGTTCAGGATAAATTGGGAGATGTATTTGGGAATTTAAGCTATAGAACTGTTTGTCAAATTCCTCGGAAGGTGTTGGATTAATCGTACTGTAGACATATACTAATCACAAACATAATTTACTGGTGAGCAATGTATGACATTATATAACATGATTACTTCCCTTTAATGCCAATGAATCATCCACTGAAGTACCCAGCCAGGCTTCCCTCGGTTTATTTTATGTCTTGTGCGGAAGCGTGTCAAAATTGCTCGGCACCACACAATCTCGGCACCTTTGGCAATGTACATCAATAAGAACAACACATCTAATTCATACAAGTTGGCCTGAATCATCATGATGATCATTCATGATGATTCACCCAAAAAAACACTAATTATTAACATGATGATTATTCACTATAAGACCATCATTCTACAAAATAAACAACCTTCCCGTCAGTCTTCAGCCGCTCCCTGGCTCAGCCTCTTTGGTCAAAGACTGCCACAGCTTGGGACTCTGAAGCTGTCCTTGTCCGAAACCAATGGCCAAACGCGCCAACTGACGCGGGGACAAGGTCGCGGAGAGCTGACCTTAGATCTGGCGACCAATGGCTTGGTCGGGCCATGGATTTCAAATGTTTAAAGTACGTCCCGTCCAAGTGTTTGCCTAGCTTGACACCTGCAGTGCCCGGTGGGTCTAATATAAGATATACATACATATATGTATATAATGTATATATATATATATAACTATAATATAAATATACACATATATATATATATAAGTAATTCCCAATAGAACTTTGATGAACTTCTATGGAATCCCCAAACTAGACTTGGAATTCCTGTGCTCTGATTTTAAAAATGTGTTTTTAGTGGCTATAACGGGCTTACTCCCTGGGGAATCCCCTCATACTCATAATTACTATATACTATGGTTCGTGAATGTAGAGCCAGCGATTTTATCACCAGCATTTCCTACACAGTTAATAACGAAATGCAGATGCGTCGAAATTAGCGGCCATGAGGTTTTGATGCATAGAGAAAGAAGCCAACAAACAGAAATTTGGAGACGTAACTGGTTGTGAACTGGACAATCTTCCGAATTCCTACCTGGGTCATCAATGGCATGTTCAAAAACATTAGAATGCATTGAATATTCACCAGAGCACCATGATGATGTGGCACTATTGTGCCTTTCCAACCCATCATCTTTTATTTTGCAAAACCGCAAAAATGCGCAGTCAGCACAGCTCCACACCGTGGCTCCTGACTGCTTCGGTTCGCAAGCACCTCCATTAGCGAAGCTTTGGCTAAATGACTGATGCCGGGAACCAACAAGGCCTAAGAGACAAAGCCGTTCCCGGTGCCCAAAAGTTGTCCTGCTGTTAGCCGCTTCCATTGAACTAACTATGTGCAGAAATACGGTAAAGGACCACTTGGTTCACTATATGAAAAAAACGGTTGTGAAACAAATGCTGAGTTAGACAGATAAGATTGGAATCATAAGCTAGCAGCTTGAAGGGTACAGGATGGTTTTCTCCATGAACATCCATGAACTATAGAGTGCATGAAAGTCCACATCTCCAAGGGTTGGAAACACTTTGAATGGCCCGTGTCACTATAGAGTCATAGAGTGGTGTTATCTTAGCGCGAATCAGTCTTTTGGGCATGGTACATGAAAATCAGAGATCATCAAAGTTGCAGATTTTCGTCATATGTGCTGGTGGGCAACCACGTTTGGAGTACCCCACATAATCCATACCCGTACTGATACCATTGACCTACATGTCTGCATATATGAATATATTAATTCATGCAGGTACATGTCTGTATGTATGTGCATATCAATATTGAGCTTCTAAGTCTCCCAAAGATCGGGTTTAGGTAATCTACCAGACTGGAGTATCAGGGATAAATATTCACTTTTGTTGTTTTCTTTAAGGAATTCGGATTTCACCGGCCAACACCACCTGCCCGTTTCGGCAACAAGGTGCCATCCAATGGCCATTCAACGCGTTCGGTGACTTCCTCGGGGCTGGTGGAACATACTTTGAGCCCTATCATAATAAAGCCTCCAAACAAAGTGGGGCCGGTTGGTTCATCTGTATTATTGGACACTTAGTGTTGGGGGTGTTCCATGTTTCTACATTAAGTTCCGAAAGTTTCGGCATGAGAGCGTTACAACATGCCTGCTTGAAAGACACCCTGGTGCCGACTACTGACAGATCAGCCCTGGTGTAGTTGCTGGACACCCTGGTGCCGACTACTGACAGATCAGCCCTGGTGTAGTTGCGCTACAGTGACGTCAAGCATCTCTTGGTAACACCGACATGTTCAACCTCCAAAGTGGTTTGTTTTTCGCCTCAGAGTTTGTATGGCCAGTATTCCTGAAAAATCCACCTTTCTTGGACTTGATCATCCGAAGGATGGAAAGCACCAAACTGTACTGCCCCAAACAATAACAACAATAGGTTATAAATGAAATGAAACACCATCGTATCATATCAAGTTGGGTATACATACCCCATTTTAGAATCCCAAAATAAGATACATCAACATTGTTTTCAATGTAGCTGTACCATGGCTCAAAATTCGCCCTGGTAAAATATGCATTGTTTGTATCACTTTAGGGGTTATGATGGGGTGGGGTGGGGTGGGGGGCTAATAACGTCCTGTAGTTGCATCCGCATAGATGTGTATTCTCTCGGATGCGTAGCTATACGTCATGGGGTGGGGTGGGGTGGGGGGGCTAATAACGTTTTGTGTTTGCATTTGCACAGGCGCGTCTTCTTACGGAATCAAAGCTACGTCACGCTACGGATGCTACTTTGGTTGCGCGTCTGCATGCCACGGTTGCTACGTTGTTGACATGTCTCACCAAAATTTGGTGAAGATCCGACTAATTAGTTTACTCGCAGTTTGCAGAAGAGAAAAAAGGCACTTTTGCAAACATTGAACACACACGACAAGTAGAAACCCATGTAATTGGAATGATTTGAGTGCGACATACACATCATTGAAATGTCATTTTGACTCACGGCGAAATATGAGCCGTGAACCATGTAGTTATACCCTCTGGTAATCAAAGGTGGCACGGAAAAATACTTCGACTATAGATGATTTTCCCATGAAAACATCCGTTTCTAGGGAATGTTCGATTGCCATCGATGACCATTTTTGTTGGTGAAATCTCCAGGCAATTCAGTCCCACTTTCCCGCTGAGGCACTCAATCAGCGGCGCCAAACGCATCAAACTCTCCGCGTGATCATCCAGCAGATGCGCTTGGGAAAAACTCACCAGGAATACTGCGGCCTCTGCGAGGCCGGGATCTACATGCATCATCGGGAATCGTAGGCGTATTAAATGTTGGTGTGTTTCTGGAGGTAGGATAAGTATGGACTTGTAACTGGAGTGAACTAACCTACAAGTTATCCATTGATCAACTGGGGTGAAGTAAGCCATGTACCTAGTGGGATGAGCCACCGCGTACCATTTGGTATGCACAATATCTCAATATGCTATAGGATTGGGATGACCCAGAGTCAAGCATTGATCACTGGGATGAAGGTTTGGGACGGGAGTGTTTCCAGTCTCGCTGACAATGCCAAGAGGGAAGGCTGTTGGGCAACTTCAATCCAAAAGCAAACTTTTCACCACACTCACCATTGACAATGAGGAACCTAATTACTCATCATTCACACTTGTAGCAGTTGTTTTTCTACAACGTTGATATTCCCAATTGTCCTCAATGCTAGAAAATGCATATTTTTCATGAACTATGTATTGAAACAACATGCTCAAACAGCTTGCCCCTATGCTCTGGTGTGCTCTGGTAGATGAAATACTGCTTCATCTAACCAGCAGCTTTGCATGGTTGAACGCTTCCAAAGTCAAGCTACGACCGACACCAAACGTCAAAATTTGAAGGTTGCTGGGCATTCAGACTTCTTGATGTTGTTGAACATTCCCTTTTGGACTTCAATGACTCTTGGACGCATCACCATTTTGCTGCAGTGCCCGATCTTGTCAAGAGTTAAATGAAATCTTTGATATCCTGTACACCAATCTAAATTTCGAGAAGCTTCTGTAGCACATGGTTCTTTAGACGAAGTTTTTTGCGAGGGCATGGGCATTTTCCAAGGAGAGTTTTGCTTCCCTCAGGTAGTCCATGGTAGTACATGTCTGCCCCTGAAATCCCCTGACCGAAATATTTTGGCACCAATTTGACCCTGACAAGACGACATATTTTGCAAGGGCATGGCATGTCTGCCATTGAAATCCCCTGACCGAAATATTTTGGCACCAATTTGACCCTGCCAGGCAGAAACCATTCGACCTGGTCTGGAAAGGGCTGTGTCGAAACCTCTGCCAAAGATGAACAAGGTGAGAACTCATCTGCAATCGAACACCTGGAAGAACCCTGATCAAAGTAGCTTGAAATTGAGGCAACACCTGGCCTCCAAATTGTGGAGTGGGAAGATACTTCAGAAAACAATTCTGCAATACGGTCTGCGTTGTCTTGCGCCTCTCTCTGCACAATCCTTTGGGCAATGTAACCAATCTCTTTGATAAGGGCACAAACTTCACGGGTGGTTAGTAACTGCAAGCCCCACTCGTCAAGGCGCTCAATCTCTTTCAATGAAATTTCAACAGGCATGGCTGGAGCAGGGAGATGCACAAAGCCTTGCTGAAGAGGGAACCGGACAATAACATCGCACGCCTCAACATAAATACATTCAGCAGCAGCAATGATCTCCTCTTCATTCCTTGTCCTCTGAACCTGGTGTAAGATAAACTCGAGACTCTGATCTAAATCATCTTGGAGCAATGCCATGGCGCTTTGCTCTACATGTTCAAGGTATGCCAGCCGGTCAGTCAGCTGCGAGCCGAACACAGAAGATGCTGCACAATTCACAGCCGCAGCAATAAAACAACTATTAAGTACCTTTTTTCAACGCGACTATTTCAAAAACATGCATGATCTGTCGCATGTGACTGCCAAAACTGGTGCCGTGCCAAGAAATTCCGAGGTGCGCCTTTGACAAATGCGTGTGCGCACACAAAAAGATGCGCCGATAAAACCGAAACAGCGACTTCTGCAACACAAAATGAACAAAATTAAACAAAACATGGACAGAAAACAACAATGATACAAAAAATAGATCGAACAAATGATGATGATGATGATGATGATGATGATGACGATGATGATGATGATGATGATGATAAATGATATATAATGATGATGATGATGGTGATGATGGTGATGATGTTGATGAGGATGAGGATGATAAATGATATATATAATGATGATGATGATGATGGTGATGATGGTGATGATGTTGATGAGGATGATGATGAACCCTATACTCCCCACAATCCCTCTATATAGATTTCCCGAATGCGTAGCAAACGTTCCCGTTTCACTCTGGGGGTTTGGGGGTTGAGGGCGTGTTCGCTCAACGTCGCCCAACCGTCCGCAACCGTTCGCGTGAGGTCGCTACGGTGTGCCTGTGGGGACTGCTGCAAAAGTGGCCACTTTTGGAAGCTTCAAACGTCGCGTCGCCGAATTCCGTGTGGCAAGTGTGGCACTTTGTGACCTTCGTGTCAAAAGTTGTTTTTGTGTGACAGGCGCAATAGTTTGTCGTCGTTGTCAGAAGATTACCTTCATTTTTCACGGCGGGCGAAGCACTTTGGACGTGTCCATCTTCATGTTGCATGGCAGGCGCAGCACTTTAGACGCGTCGTGTTGGGTGTGTTTTGCGAATCGCGTCGTCTACACTTTACACTCCACACCTTGCACTCCACAATTTACACTTTACACTCGACACTTCGCACTCCACAATCCCCACTTCACACCCTGCCCTACACACGGCATTCCCCACTCAACACTCCACTGTCGTCACGATCCACACTCTGCGCTTCATTCCGTTCCACTCTCCACGGTCTACACCGGCACGGTAACTGGAGAAAAAAAATGTACAAGACTGTTGAAATAACGTGTTTCACAAAAGTGCTTTAGATGACTACACCGTGTTTCGACACCTGTAACAGTACCATATGTGTGAGCATTCGGGTTCGTGGGTTGCATCTTGTTTAAGGGATGTAAGCAGAATCAATGAGTATCGAGGGATACCTTCAATAGAACTTTGGCAATTGTTATTTTGGCGCTTTCCCCACATTCATGTGTTTAAGGCAGTTCCATTGGAAGCATCAGAGGTTCCCCGCGTCTGTTGCTGCCAAATTTAACATACGAGTACCAAATTGAACCATTCATCATTTAGGTGTGGCTTGAACCATTAGATAAATTTAATATAGAGATTTTAATTTATACTACAATGACATACAATAACCCACTAACTGGATTAATAATATGTGTAAATACAAATCCACATGTTCTCCCCGGTGCCTCCTGCGGTGAAACCTCGCCGAGCTCTACACGCGGCGCCAGGTGCTGCGGCAGCGCACCGAAGAAGGCGCGGCCCGCAGAGGGCACGGCGGGGACGCAGCGGGAGAAGCTGAAGGCCAGGGCGGACCTGGTATATCGCCATGCATGGCACCCAAATGGCACCCAAATCGTACCAAATGTTTGTTTTCTCAACAGCCGTGACATGGTCACCTGAAATTGTTTGGCACCCTCTCCACCTATGCCACACACGTCCTCTGGGACAAATGAAAACTGATCCGGCTGCCCTGGCTCTTGTCGCCATGAGCTCGAGAAATTCCTACACATGATCAGCTCATCTTTTCGGCGTTGAGCTTTTAGCTCTGCCACTTCATCTTTGAGCACCTTGCAAAAATCTCTGGGCCAGCTACAGCTGCGTCTAAAGACGTGCACAGCTCATGCAAGTCCGGCCCCTCAGTAGACGATGTCCTCCGAGAACAAATGCCAGGGAATGCAAACCAAATGAAGGTCATGATAATTAACGAAGAACAATGCTAGCATCAGCGCCAGAATGAACTTCAAGTCATACTCAGCACCATCGCTCCTATGCTTTGCTCCATGAATGATCACCGCGGCTTGCTCGGACAGTTGAAGCTGCTCAGCCGCCACCATAGAGATCAGCGCTCTTGCAGTTCTGGATGTAGATCCATGTTTTTCTTGGGCTGTTCTTTCGCGGTCTGCCTTGGTCTTTTTCTTGCTTGCTTGATAGCTCTCATCTGCCACCAACTGGATGTGAGCTCCTCGGAAACGTTTGACCAAAGCTACTCTGCCATTTTTGTCAGACCGTCAGCAAGTTGACGCTCACCGCTCCCCCATCTCTAGTGGCAGTTCAAATCACGCAACATGTCTTTGATGAGAAGTCCCTCGGTGGCCACACGCTTGTCGGTTACCTGTTGCACCGTTGAGCGCTTCACTGCATCAAACAATCCTTTGCAGTCTGTCACCATTGCACATTCTTCTGCATGAAGTTGATCACGGGCTTCACGCAAACTGCTGCAGGAATTCTTCAAATGATGCAAAATAGTTTCGCCATCATCAATTCTTCCAATGCTGAAGAACATGCTTGACATTCTGCTGCCAGTGAAAACCCGCAAACTCCTGGGTAATTTGAATGAATGCCAGCCAGCTATCGAAGCAGGAACCTTCTTTCCTCTGAGAACGGAAGCATCACATGCCATCAGCACACAGCCACCTTGTGACGATTTGTCACTCCGCACGCAGAAAGCTGCGTCTGCATAGCAAACTAACACCAAACCATCCAAGCCAGAAGTATGGGAAGTGCTTGCTGCCAAAAACTTCAAATTGACGGGCTTTCCAAACGAAGAGTTTTGTTGAGCCCGGTCAGCTCTTTGATCTTCGCATTTGACAGTTCACCTGCCTGTATCGACATTGTAGGCGCCAACAGCGGTAGGCTTTGTGTTGCAGGCCACTGGAGGGCACCGATCAGCCCACGAGCTTTGCTCTTGTCGTGCTCGGTGATTGGTTGGTCATCCTTTCTGCCTTTCTTGATTGTCACAGGGCAAATGCACTTCATGTACTCGGCATAGGAAACCTCCATGCCGTGCTCATTCTGGAAAATGATGCCACGACAGTGCTTCAAGGAATGTGTTGGGGTCAAAACATCCCATTTTCGAAAGTTGAACTGTTGTCGCAGGCGTTTGACTGCGTCTTGGCAAACTTGTCTGTGGGGCATCTGGTTGCCAAAACATCATCAACATGTAGGATCATCATCCCTCGGAAACTTCCATGGCTAGAGTGCTTGTCGGCCGCCGCCAACATGAAACAACATTGATCCATGGGGCGTTTGATCCATCCCATCTCAGTCAGTCTTCTGCTGGCTTCTTGCACGGTACCAAAGCGAAGGAGCATCGGAAAGACCGTCTTTTCTTCAGCCGCATGAAAACATGCCTTGTAATCCCTTCCAGATTCACACCAAGCAAGGGACCACAGTCAGCAGGAAGTCGGAGAATGACGACTCTGTTGAAGTTGCTTCCCGACAGAAACGCTGCCTTCACGTCGGCACAGATCAATTGCCAGCTGTTCCACTTTGTCAAAGTTAACAACCATAGCCTTGCCTGTCTTGATGCCGTCGGTGAGGCTTTGTTGAGTGTCATCAGGATCCTCATAGCCACGTAGGACAAGGCTTGCCTTAGCTTTCCACTTGGGCGCTTCAGCATTCTCATCCTCACGTTTCCATGTCATCACCAAACGCGCAGTGACCACACGTTGATCTTTCTCTGCATCTTTCTTCTCCTTGTCGCTTGCAAACTCCCAAACAAAAAATGCAAAGTAATTCTCCAGCTCTTTTCGTTCTGCAGCTACAAAGTCAGTCAGCTCATTCTTCAGGTGAAAGAAGTTTCATGTTGACTTCATCCCTTCGGAACTGAACCATGTAGTTGTCTCCAACTCCAACGCACCATCAACGCATTTCCAACCATCAGGTAAACCGCCGCCACCATCAACCATCATAACGTCAATCACCAAGTCATCCTCTGCAGGGACAGGTGTCTCTACAACTGATTGGTTGGCTGCTGCATCGGCGATCTCAGCAGGGGTTGAAGTTGAGGATCTGGCCACCTCGCCTCTGGGCTTCTTGTGACTTTCTTCCTCAGGAAGTGATGCGTGCTCTTTGCATTCTGGTGAGCTGCTTGCAACTCGTTCTTCAGTTGCAGGTCGTTCCAAAACCACTAGGCAGTGTTGTTGAAGCATCAGAAGCCAAACGGCGTCTTAGAGATCGTTCACGGCCACGCTCTGAACCATCATGTTGTTGTGGAGGCTGTTGGAAAACATCTGGACAACTCCAGGTCGTGAGCCTTGTGGTGGATCATCTGAAGTCTCTGCAAGCTCATCAGGCGGTCTGTCGTCTCCCATCAACTCATCAACATCAGGGTTGCCACCAGCTCGCTTCAAAGCATCTTTGAACTGACTGGGTGGTTGACCTTGCTTTCAGCTCCTCAAGGTCACACATTGCTGCTGATCGATCAGCAGGAACTGCAACACCTGTTTCTTCAACAACAGGTCGCACTTGTCGAGGTCCACAACGCACCAATGAAGTTCCATGGCACAACCACAAAACCTTGAATCTCCAACTGGTTCAACAGCCACAACTCGTGCCGGGCCCCTCCATCTTGCTTTTCTCAGAATGGCTTGAGCTGCGTTCACTCGCTTCCGCTGCACATTTGCAAAAGCTCCTTGGTCATCCGACGCTTCTTGACCAGGGCTGAAAATTTCGACACTCAAACCATGGGCATAGTTCATGGCTTTGCACAATGTTGCGGTGAAAACGACGGTCGAAGCTCAGCTGATTGATGGAGTGAAGCGTGATGCATGCTTCTTTCAAAGCTGAAACATCATGCCTGCCGATGTCATCCTGGTAGAGCTCAAGTGCTGGGCGAACAACTTGATGTTTCCTTTGACAACAGCCAGGAATGATTCTCAGCAGGTTGAACTTCTAACTCTATTCCTCTGGATGCCGCCCACTCACGCAAGTGTTTGGTAGCCCATCCTTTGGCTTCGTCAATCCTCAGCAAACGATCATACCAAAATGCTTAGCCTTTGATGAACTCATCAGCACGTTCAGACTTGAGAATTCTAACTGAGCAAAACTCGGCTGTATTGTCAATGATGGCGAGGACACATTGACGACCACTGAAGGCTTTCTCGGCTTTGTTCTTCTCCCTTCGCTTATGAGCAGAGGTTCCAGGTGCGGGTTCAGCTCGCTTGATGATGCTGTCCTCGCATTGAATCCAGTGAGAATCGACCAAAATCGGGTCGTTGAACTCGGGGCATTTCAGGCTTGAAGCAGGAGGATTTTGGAATGAGGGCTTTCTGGCATAGCATGCTGGACAAACATAGTTCTTTGCCGCCTCAAGCACATTCGAGGCGGAGCTTGCTTGAACATCTGAAAGCATCTTTTCCAGCACGCCGCTGGAGGGATGGCCCAGGTTCTTGTGGAGCCGCTGGACATGGTCTACTGCTCTTCCACCAATTCTTTTCCACAGGGCTTTGTTGAGGGCAAATGGGTCACCATGGCTCAGTCTGCTCGGCCTTGTGGGACAAGGCAAGAACTGCCGACAGAACCCGGTCCAGAACCCGGACCGGACCGGACCCGACCCGCTCACGCGCACCCGACCCGGACCGGACCGGGCGAACGCTGCATGAGTGTCAAAACCCTGCATCTTCTTGAAGGCTTTTGTGCTCCACGCACGTGACTTTCGTGGATGCTCTGCAATTCCAATTCCTCCGCTGGTACTCATACACCAAAGCTGCAAAGGTCAGGAGATTGTCATGGTTCTCCTGTCGCAGAGTTGTCAGCTTGGCTACATAGTCAGGGCGCTTTGCCATCGTCAACTCTTGCAACATAGACCACAGCTTGCATGGAGGCATGACCAGGCAACAGTGAGGATGCTCTTGTTTCAGACGCTTGAAGAAGGCTCTGCGATGACTCGGAAGGTTGAAGTCCCAGCCATCTTCCAAGGAAAAACGTTCTGCCTTGCAACCACTTCGTCTTTTTGCTGTCTTTGTCACTCTGCCAGCACCTGCAAAGATCTCCCAAATGACGTAGGGCTTCTTCTTCTTCTTCTTCTTCTCAACGTTGCCACCACTTGAAGCACTGAACAAGATTCGGTCAAACTCTTTCTCGTCCTAGCTTTCCAGGTGAAAGGTGGCACAGGTCATAGTCAAGGGCCTTGCGCTCGCGCTTGGGTTTGTCCACCTTGGTCGCATCATCTTGCACAGGTGGGGTTGTTCTGCCGCTGTCATTGGAATCTCGTTGCGTTTGCCAGCAGGAGTTGCTGTCGTGGTGAAACTTGCATCATGGGGTTCTTTGGGATCGTCGTCGCTCTTGCGCTCTGCAGAAAACAAATTCGGTGAAACTTGCTGTTGATCTGGTTGTAGATCTTGATCAGCATCGTGTTTGGGCTCTCGCTCCACAGCAAAGATCACATCATCATTCCGCAACTGATCCATGCTGAACTGTACGGGCTGCACATGGCTGTCAAAGTTCTTAGGGAGGTAGACAAGCTGGGGTTCCGCATCCAGCAAACCATGCACATCAGCTGCCAGGTGGGTGACGTATTCGCCCTTCGTTCCCTCAGGATCGGCGCATTGCCTTCAATGACATAGGCCCGCGCCCCACACCACCAAAGAAAGTAGGGAGGAGTGTGCACCATTGCATGGCGTTCGTGCTGCCATTGCCACAACGAAAACCTTTGTTGCAACACCAAACAGGGATCTCATCCAAGGCTGACACACTTCCGGAGTTGAAACCTTGATGTAATCATTGCAGCATCTGAGCTCTCATCAAGCTTCAGCGTGGATTCAGCGAAGGTCACCATCATGGCGTCACCTGCATCAGTCTCAGCTTTGCGCTTTCCAGCACCAGCAGTCGGACAGTCTTTTGCCCAATGACCAGCTTGGCCGCAAGGAAGACATTTGCTTGCACCAATCTTCGAACCTGCAAGGGCTGCTCGTCCACAGTCTTTGGGTCGTGGAGGAAGTCTGCAGGGGCATTTGCTTCGACTTCGTCTTGCCTTTGCCCTTCACATGCTTGCCATTTGAAGATCCTTTGCCATGTCCTCGGCCTTAAGGTGCTAGAGCCGCAACTGGAAAATAGCCACGTGAGACACGAAGCTGGGCCAGTTTCTGCTTAGCTTCGACATAGTTTGCCAACACCTCATTGTACTCAGTCGCTGCATCCTCATAGGCTGCATAGTTTTCTTCACATCCATCATTATCCTCATAGTATGATGCTCCCTCATCAGCCCATTGAACATCATCTTCATCGGGTTCCCATTCTTCCCCGTCATCATAGTACTCAGCATCATCCTCGTAGTAGATGGAGTCTTTGGCATTGCGAGTCCATCGACCAGCATTGGAAGAATGTGCATCTTGACCGATCACGAAGCTCACACCTTCGCGGACAGTCTCCAAAGAAAGCTTTTCACCATCCATAGTGGTCATGATCATCTGTCTCTGTTCCTTGCTCGGACTGGCTCTCCTCAGATACCACCATCCAACGACTTTATCAGGTAGTTGAACTGTTGCTGCAGTTTCCGCAACGCTCGTTCAAACTCTGCAGAATATTCTTGGATGTTCTGGGACTTGCGTCTCGAAAGATTCACAAAGAACGTCTCAAAATCTGCAGGCAATTCCGTAATGGCATCGAACTTGAACACTCGATCCAAACGCTCCAAAATCAACTTCATGCCACCGTCGCCCTCGAGCTCTTGCATGCTGATATCTTCACAAGCATCCCGAGCTCGACCTTTGAGTGAACTAAGCACATTGAAAGACCTCTCGCCACCTCCGTTGGCCAATTTCATCTTCTTGCCATACAGCAGGAGTCGCTTTCGTACTCTTTGTAGCCACCCGACTTTCCAGAAAACTCGGGAATATGTTCATGAGCCTTGCCAGCCTATGTAGTGCCTGTCCCCGATCCAGTCGTTGTAAGGTCCTGCGCAGGGTCAGCACCAGCAAGGAAAAGTAGGACCTCCTCAGGGTCAACGCAGCAAGAGAAAGGGACCTGCTCAGGGTCAGATGCCAAAGTCCTTGGACCTGCTCAGGGTCGACTCAGCTCTGGCCTGCACAGGACCAAGTTTCAGTTGAAGCGCAGAAGATTGCTCTGGGTCACACCAGCTGCTCCGCCGCCAGCTTCAGGATTTCCCGGTAGACACACACGAAGTTCCACAATCCGATGGATAGCAACAGCTAGAGTAGGATGGCGTAGCGCAGATTGGATCGAAGCAACTTTTCACCCGAGATCTCGAACCCACCACTGCTGCAATGTGAAACATGTTGGTTTGACCAAATGGCTGGACAGCTGCATGAAATGGTCAGCGAACATTTGACATAGTGATGTTAGTTGTGACCATCATGACCACGTTGCAGCCAGCCAAGGCACAAATCGCTGGAACTGCAGTCGTCCAAACGCGTCTGTAGCCTGGATCTTGTGAGGATCCAGCTGAAGTTAGAGGATCTGTGGTTGACCCTGTAACTGGGTGAACCTTGTCTTGATACCCTGGGGTAAACATACAAAAAACGTGGAACATGATCCATATATCTGGTTGATTTACCTGAAGAATAATGAAATGATTTACAAAAAGATCTGGAAGAGCCAGGGTTTCCCGTTCGGAAAATGATCTACAAATGATGCTCTTTCCACATCGAACTGTCAGTTTTCGAGGAGGGTATCTGTCTTTGAAATACCATTGGAGTAACATGATGCCAGTTCCAAATCGAGCACAGAATTCCGTTGGCGAAGCGTCTTCGTCTGGGACTTCCCACCAGCCCATCATTTTAGCCATCAACTGTTTGTCCACAAATCCCATCCTCAGCGGCAAAATGTTGTACCCTGTCCCAAGATAGCACAAGAATGCGGCTAAACCTAGGGTATTGTTGGCGAGGATGCCTAGACTTGTTGGGGAATCACTTTTGTTGTTGCTTCTACGCTCAATCTAGCCGCTTAATTACATTTCGGATACAAGTCGACTACATCATCGATATAGTGGATGGATGTGGATGGAATGCGGATTCGTTTGGGTTTAATCTCCCTCTTGTTTGTTACATCTCTCACCATGTGGTTTTCTGGGAGATCCATTCAGATTGGCCTCCACAAACCTTCCAAAATCCTGGAGGTTGCTGCCTGATCTTTGCTGAAATATCTGGGGGGCTTAAGTGTAAAATACCAAATTTGTTGATTTCAATTGTCAACCAACTTCCAATCTGATATCAACCCCAATTTGTTGAAATCCAAAAAAATGGATGGCGAATCCACATTCTCATCCACTGAAATATTGCCAATCTCGGATGTGAAGCTCCCAAATCGTTCTTATTGATGTTGCGTGCACATCCCTACAATGATTTTCTTGGCAAGCACATACCCCATTACATGTTTGATGCTTTTACTCCTACTCCACAATTGGATGTAAGTAAAGATTAATAAAGGTCATCAATGGAAGACAGGGTTGCTTCAATCACAAGAGTGAATCACTTTGTGGTTCCAGTGATAAGTACCATTAAATACGCATGGGTTGCTTCCCTATCCCCTGCTGAACGAGTACACACATATCCAGATTACTTATTTATAGAGTTGCATCTAGTTTATTGTATTTAACATCTACATTATCATAGAGATCAAACACGGTTATTCTCATGTCAGATATTCAATATGTTCAAAGACCATTTCAGCAGTTTTGCACAAAAACAATATCAATATGTCCATCATGTTCTACACAACTTAAATTATGTTCCACGAACAATCACCCATGCTCCCCGTTTTCCAAGAAAATCACCATACATGTCCATTATGTTCCACGACAAATCACTATGTTCCCAGCATTTTTCCAGAACAAACCGCAAGTTTTCCAACATGTTTCCATGAATTTACAAGAAACATCGACAGTTTCCACCAATTTTCCAGCATGTTCCAACCATTTTCCAACCATTCCGTTCAAAAATCGCCATTTTCCACCAAAAAATGCCAATTTTCCCCGGATTTTCCCAGGATTTTCCCAGCCAGCTCCAGCCGTCCCCGTTCTTCCACCGCGGCACTGTCCAAAGGCGCTGGCCGCGTGGCGCAGCTCTCGGACACCCAGCTGCTTGGCCTCCAGGTGCTTCAGCAAGGCAGTCGCCAGGCTGCTGAAGAGGGGCTCCTTGGTCCACGGAGAAATGGTGAATAATAATGGTGATTGATCGGAAAATGGTGATCTATACATTGATCTATAGGAAAATAACCAACATTGATCCACTAATGGTGATCCTATGGGGTAAAGATCTGAAGGGTCGGAAAATGGTGATCTATACCCCAAAATGGATCCATGTTGGTGAATAATGGCTCTAGAAAAATATCTATAAATGGCGAATGAATCAAAAACCGCTTGGTGATCTTCCCTATTTTATGAAATGGAAATATAAAAGCCATGATCCAAACCACCAACCAGTATGTATACATATATATATATACACACATTGATCTACTATAAATGGTTGGTTAATAATGGTTCTACTATAAATATCTATAAATGGTTGTTTACCCATGGTTAACCAACTGGAAAATGGAGAAACTGGTGAGTCAATGGCTGAACAATGGTGAACATCTATGGTTCGTCAACGGTTAGTCAACTTTAACTAATGGTGATTGTGTGGTGTTTTGTAGCATTTAATGGGAATATCATGGTGTATGTATACATGTGTATTCTATTCCCTGTAAGGATAGAAAATTTTGTTGATATCCTGGGATTGGAATGATTTAATGCCTAGAACATGCTTAGAAACTAGCAAGTGAGGTTGTCATAAGCTATTTATAGTTATATATCATTAGCTATGTTATGGAAAAGAAAATAATAGAAACTGCTTAGAAACTATGCTATATATCCAACAAACACCAATCCGCAGACTTATAGCTATTTCAAGCAACTCATCTATCGTTTGGGTGCCGCACAAACATTGTTGGTTCGCGACCCAGGATGCTTTTCGGAGAGCGTCCCAAATGGCTCAAATGTCTTGGTACATATGGGCACTTGATGAACAGTTCGCATCATTTCCTAAGGTGATTTCACCATATATAAACCATATATTCATCATTTCCTAAACCATCCTTGGTAAAGCATCCAGTTATGGAACCGGATTTCAAGCGTTTTTTCCACTGGATGGCCGGATTCCAGTCCCATTTTTCTGGGACCCGTCGTCCCATGGCTCCACTTCATCCACTGGTTGGTGGTTGCTGCGAACCCCTCTGAAAAATGATGGACTTCGTCAGTTGGGATGATGACATTCCCAACTGAATGGAAGAATAAAAGCCTTTTTTCAAACCACCAACCAGTCCATAGATCTCAGCTATGGAAAGGGTCACCATTTTGAACGCCAAGATGCATCCCGGATCTGCAGCTTCGCCAGAGCATCAGCCAACAGAATGCTGTCCTAAAGTCACAACGGCACGTTGCTCCAGGTCTCCACATGGCTCTGAACATGTGACCACCAAACTTAGGGCTATTTGAATGGGGAAAATGATGATCAAGCAATGGATTTTGGGATACCCAACCAGTGTCCGTATCTTTCTCCATCCCCAAATCTTCTATCAGTTTTTGCCATATAGGTTTTCCAGGGAGTATCCCAACTTCGTTGGGGTCAAAATCGGCAAAAATTCACGTTATCTATGGCAAATCCCAAGTTATGGACTGTAAGTCATGGCAACCAATGGTATTTTGGCCAGTCGTCAGTCAGTATCCCAACTTATTTGGGATAAACATCTCTAAAAATCCATTAGAACAAAAACACTAAACAACAAAAAAAAATATCCCTTAAAAAAACCTAAAAAAAACCTAAACAATACCTAAAAACTCCATTTAAAAAATCCCATCTTTCCAGCCCAAACTGAACCCTTCGCCAAGTCGCCAGGGCCGAGGTCCCACCGGGCCCCAAGGCTTTCTGTCTACGCTGCAACTCACGATGCAACCTGGGAATGACAAGCAGTTGGACCATGATTGGCAGTTCAGGGGGATATATGTTATATATGTTATATAGTTATATATATATATATATATATAATGTCTTTATGTGTTTAATGTATTTGTTTATCATATAGGATTTCTTAGTGATAAAGCCTTTAGGCGTATATTCTGGAAATCTGCATCAACGCAGTATTTTGTTACCTTATGACACCCTTACAATCATTAAAACAAAAACATTACGTCCTTTCATGTTTCATCTCAGACCACTTCACTGGATGTGTGCATTTGATATTTCGCAATCCAAATATCAGGGGTTTGGTTTCTCGTCTGCACCGTTTTCAAGCCTATGATGGTTGGTTAGATGGAATAGTGGCTATGTGGTGAACCAGGGTCTTGGCAAGTTATCACACGATAGGGGGCGGAGCATTTTGACGTGAAGGATCCGGTTTGCTCAGAAGAGCTGTTTTCAGCGTCCATTCGTCTGATCAAGCGTCTCGTGGGTATACGCAAACTTGGACTGGTTGGTGGTTTCAACCCCTCTGAATTAATATTAGTCAGTTGGGATGATTATTCCCAAAATATGGAACAATAAAAGCCATGTTCCAAACCACCAAACAGTGGATGTTCCCTACTAGGCGAAACGAAAAGGCAAAATGATTGGCTTCCGCTCGGACCTCAAAGTGAGATCCCATGGATCGTTTGCGGATCACTCGAGATCTAGTTGCAGTCATTTCTCAACAAACATACTGCTGGTCCAAAATCAAAGGACACTGAATATCACTACAAGGTGGGGCCCCCCAGTTATAAGATGGTTTATGAACCCCATTAACTATAGTTATAGGTACCATAAACCATAATTATTGGAGTTATAAACCAACTTAGCTATCTAGGGGGCCCCACTTTGTAGATATCACAAGATATCACAAGTTGCTGATACCCAACTGCCCAACTGACTGCCCAGTCACTGTTCTACCAGGTCTTGGAATTCCTGGAGTCATTGCAGCCGCCGCTCCGGAAGTGCCAGTGTTAAATCATGGGATTCTGCAGATTCTGGAACGACCTTTTGGTCATTTGACTGGCAATGCCATGGAAAATTGAGCCATTTATAGATGGTCTTCCTGTTTTACCAGAGGCTAGGGGGATGAGAGTACATCCTTTGGTATTTGCTTGTAGCATGCAGCTTCTATTCATTTAGTATGTCATATTACCATATATTACCAGTTGCTTAAAAAAGTTGAAACCCAATCTCTGTTGCTTACATCCACACTGTAATAGATCTCCATCCATGTTGCATAGAACCATGTGGTTATGTTTCAATCCAGGAATCCTGCGTGAACCCCATTTATATCAGTAACATCACTCAAATCCCTTTTCGATATGCAGAATCCCATGGGTAAAATTCCTTAGAATCCCATTTCTGCATGTTACGCTCTGGTAAACTGACAAAGCTATTGAAGCCATAGTCATTTAGTTCGTTGATTTACCTAGCTATGAAATGGTGATTTTCCAGGTAAATCCCCTTGACAATCCCTATTTTTGATGGTCAAATAGTAAAATCCATTTGAATCTCCATAAATCCACATTATGAATTATCTAATTGGTGGTTTCGATCCTGAAAATTATGAGTTCGTCAGATTGGATCCTCATCCCAACTATTGGGGAAAGTAAAAGCCATGTTCCAAACTACCAACCAGACTATAATTGTTAAAATCCTAATAACCATAAATCCACATTATGAACTATGATTGTTATGAATTATTGTTAGGAATATAACCATGAAAAAATCTCCACCAAACACATTATGATTGTGAAAATCCCTTGAAATCCTTAATTTCTGCTGGTTAAATCCCCATGGTGCTCGGAAAAAAAACCGCCGCAAAACTCACCACCGTTGCGTTGCGCCTGCGCTGGGAAGCCGCCGGACTCCAAGCGCGCCACGGCGTAGAAGGCCGTGGCCAACTGATGGCCTCAGGTTCCGTGGGACGCGGCTGGGAATTGGTGGATTGTTGGGGAAAAACATGGAAAAACACACTGGGATCTACTGGATTTACTGGGATTTACTGGAAATGACTGGCATTATGAATGGATTATTGAAAGAAAAACTATAGTGGATTATTGATTCTCACTGGGATCTGCTGGAATTTAATGAGCTAGGCTAGTGTTAGTAAATTTTATCACGAAGTGTTTCATTGAAATTTGAAATGTATATATTTTGTGAGAATAGAACTCTGTTGAAAAGTACAATTTTCCACACATATAATGTTTCTATGTTCATGGCACATATGATCTGTAGTCCATTCTCACCATGTTTCTTTGGTGAAATCATCTTGAATCCCCATCAAAAACATCCCAAGATATCCCAACACAGTTCAATTCTCATCCCAAATTCCATTCTCACCGTGGAATTCAAGGATTATATATATATATATATACACGTATATATGCTTAAATCATCCTAAATCATCTAGAATCCCATAGTAAAGTACCATTTCTACCGTAAAAATCCCCCCTTTCCACCGTTCCCACCCGCTGCCCGCAGCCTGACAGGTCGGAGACCTCCAGCGCCTTCCCCAGACGCGACAGCCAGGGACCGCCCAAGGAGAGTTTCGCGGCGGCCCAAAGCAGCGAGACCTGCGCCTGGGCCTTGGTCCACCGAGAAAAAATGGGCGATGGAATGGTTGATACCCTTGAGTAATGAGAGAAAATGGCCATAGAAATAGTTGATTATGTTGATTTTCCCATTAAAAATTGTGATTTCCCATAGTTTTTTGTATGTTTACCAGAGGGTACCCTCCAGTAAATTGATTGATTTCAGGGTCTATGTTAATTTACCAGAGGGTAAATAGTAAATAAGGTGGACCATTCCATGACCCATTTTTTGATGATGAACCAATGGTAGATAATTTAATAATCACCATCATTGTCCATTGATTGGCCTTTGGTGGGCCATTGGCAATAAAGTGATTAAAGAAAAACACATCATAAATAAAGATGATAATTGATTAAAAAATCATTGATGATGATGATAATGATGATGATGATCAACAATAAAGTGATGATTAACCTTTGGTGGATGATGATTTTCATTGATGATAATGATGATGATGATGGTGATGATGGTGATGATGATGATAGTTAACCTTATTTATTACTATCATTATTCTGACGGTGTTGATGATTATTGTTCTCATATCTATGTTTTCTTTTAAGGCAATATCTCTTATGACTCTAACTCCATTGAGATGTTGAGAGTATCATCTTCTAAATGATGGGATATGATGGAATGCAAGGTAGTTGACTCCCAACTTTTATATATGGAGGACAAATATAATGGGAATACTGCATACTTGGAGAACGTTGGGAATAGCATCGAAACAAACACAATTTTGGGGTAACTGGGTTCTTTTAGCACCGTTTTTGAAGGTGTTTAACGATTTGGAATGATGAAAATGACCATCTTGGTAAGTCATACCCCATTTCTGGCTATTCTGCTCGACTCTAATCCTCTCATCTACCATCGCGTATATAGGTTATATAATCACCTGTGTATACCGGTTGTTTCATACCCAGGTCGCTGCAAGTACATCTCCATCACTTCCTGTCTTCATTCCGCCTGCTGCGCCCGCTGGTACCGACAGAATGCTGAAATGCGCTGCTTCCTGACTATAGTTCGAAAAGCAGGAAGCCCAGCGCGTACCACTCAACCGAGGTGTCGTATAGTACTGTAGCTGCTTCCAACATCGCAAGTGCTTCAAGTGGCATCCTGGTGAATCAGACCCACAGCTGCATGTACCACCTCTCTGCAGAGATGAAGATTCACTCATTAAACACTGCTACAAAACACGCACAGATATGGGGCGTTGGTTTCCTTTCTCCACGGGACTTCCCGCATTGTCCATCACTTGTGGTAATTTTATGTCACCATTTACATATATATATATATATTATTTTTATATACATATATATATATATACATACATTAATTATACATATATATATATATATTACATATGTGTATATATAATGAACTATATATATATTGATTATATATGTATACTATGTGTTTTCTTTGAAAGCTTGTAATCCGTCAATTTCCACGGGGCTTTGGTAGGTCCGCAGAGTGCTCGATTGATCTCTCTCAACAGTCCACATGCTTTGGTTCCAAAAGCGGGCCAAAACCCAGTGAATCAATCGCACTGACACCACCACATCTTTTGGCATCTCCCAAATGTAGACACAAGGATAGTTATACACATTTTGCGTCACTAGATGTATCACCAAGGACCTTAGATGATGCTGACCTTTGGCATGACTCTTCTCCTGTCCATGATACAATGTCTACAGAAATAGTATACTTCCCGATGAAACGAATATTCCATAAGATAAGATTCCAACTGGGACCCGTGAACTCTCTCTACGAGAAGAGGTATCCAAAGATTTTGTATGCAAAGATTTCATGATCCAGATGCTGGCATACTGAAAAATATATCCCATATTCCAAAGTATATCAACTATCCCTTAAAACAAACAAAACCATCAACTATAGTCAGAAGGTTGGTCAATTCCATTTACATCCACTATACTTACAGCTAGCATAAACCACAGGATTCACCGTGTGGGGCCAAGATATCCTAAGGACTTTCATGATCCGATTTAAGCATGTCCCATTAAGAGAACGAAAAACATAAAACGTTTCGATAAGATTCCGGCTGCCCCATATGATAAAACTATCCCAATGATATCCCAAGGACTTTCACCACTATTATTCACTACGAAAATCACTACGATTTTCCAAGTTTTCATCCCATGAAATCCCTTGTCCATGTTTCCATTGATTTCCCACACTTTTCCCAGGGACTTTCCCATAGTTTTCCCATAGTTTCACATAGTTTCCCAGGGTTTTCCCATGATTTTCATGGTTTAAAACAATTTTCATGGCTTAAATCCCATGATTTTCCCATGATTTACCAGAGTTTTCCCATGATTTTCATGGCATCCAAGTGACTCCCAACTTCTCCACGGTTCCATCCTCCAGGCGTTTCAGCAACGCCTCCACCGCCGTGGACGCCGCCAGACCGCGGCCCCCGAGGCGCGCCAGGCGGTGTAGGGCGGTGGCCACGTGCAAAGCGTCGAGGTCGGAGACGGTGACCAGGTCCTGGTTTATATGGGTTTAATGGTGGTTAATGGTGGTTAATGGTGGTTAATGGTGGTTAATGGTGGTTAATGGTGGTTAATGTTTATGTTGTTCTTTGTCACAGACTGTGCAAAGATGCTAGATTCATGTAGATACTACTTACTGGTGCTGTAGGGAATGGATGGGTTGCTGGGGGTTGCTGGGATGATTATTGATAGTTAGCCAGTGGATCATTCCCCCCATTAACTATTAAATCTGGTTGGTGGTTTTAAACCATCTTGAACAATATGAAAGTCAATGGGGAGGATTATCCCATATATAATGGAAAATAAAAAGGTTTGAAACCACCAGCCAGAAATTGTATCCTGGCGATTTTTAATGGTTATTGATAATTATGAAAGTTATTAACCTATGGTTATTAGCCTATTAAATGGTTATTGATAGTTGATAGTTATTAATGGTTATTAACGGATGGTCATTGATAGTTCTTAAATCGTGATTAAATGTTATTAACCTACTATATAATTTGTTAAAGCTATCAAACTATTAAATTATTACAGTAAACATATGGAAAACTATATAGGTTATAACTATTAAATGCTTATTAGCCTATGATCCTATATCATATCAATAACCGCCAGGATAATAGGCCGTGATAACCTAGGATAAATACCTATATCACCTATTGATGGTGTTTTGATACTTATTATAGTTATTAACAAAAACCTACAACTGTGATGGTTCGAAACAATGACAATCAACAACTATAGCTATTTAGCCAATGATAGTAAAGTAACTAAGGATATTGGTTGGATATATCAAGTAAGGATAAGTTTGCTAAGGGATACTTAGAATACTTTCCAAACTAATGATAGTGATAGATAGCCAAATAGCAAATGATAATTCAGGGATACTAACTAAGAGGGATATCAATATCATTGTTGTTAACTTATGGAGAAGTTAAGGGATGTTTAGCCTATGAAAATGTATTAGGATCATTGATAGTTATAATTATTGATGTTGATCTATAGTAACTATAACTACTTGGAAATTAGTTATCTGTTATCTCAATGATTTCCCACCCAACTCAGGATAAGGAATATTTATCCGATGAAAAACGTTGATAAGAGGGATAGAAATGGACCATGAATAAATTAATACTCACTTAGGATATGAAGGATATCTCACCTGACAACGGTTTCGTGGGGATATAAAATTCCAATATCCACTATGAATATCCCGTATTTAATGATACTGATTGATATGATTATATATATATATATATCTTAACTCAGAGAATGATAGATATTGCAAATGAAAGTTAGGGGAGATTAACCAAGAGGGAGAGTCAGTGATAACTGATGATATTTCTTGATAATATTGCTTTTAACTAACAGTAAATTAGTGGCATTTTTAATGATTATGAATACTTATGACTGTGAATTGGATACTACCAAACACTATAGTCACTATATAATGGATCTGTAAGGATCTTGGTGGTAACCATTATTCATTTCTTCATGGAAACTTTCATGATACCAGTTGGACATGACCGTCCCTGTGGGTCCAAATACTTCCTGAGAAGGTACTTATAAACACCACCCAAAAACTGCCCTGATATTCGCAAAGGAAACTACCCATAGGGCATTGGTTAAATCGCAAAGCATACGTATTTATCTGGTAAAGCCCTGAATCATGCTTCATCTGATGATTGCCATGGATATCATGGATAGTACACAAAGCGGGCAGCAGCGTCAGCGTCATTTTCCATATTCAAGCACGCCACTTGCAAAGCATTCCCATCTCCTTGCACATTTGTGCCAGTGTGAACTTTTCGTTCACATTCTTATTGCGATGCCAGAGCCACTGAAACATCTTTTCCTTCAGGTGAAGATTGGCTACGCTTTGTCCTGTGGACCTTTTCTTGACATTCAACTGCTTTGGAAGCCATTTTTTCAAAACTCCTCAAGTTCTGTCAAGACTCTGGGTGCCTCCAACTTTGCTAAACCCCCTCTTCAGTGCTTCCTTCAACTTGACTGCGAACTGTTTTGCCTGATGATTCACCTGCACTAAAGGCATGCGCATTTTACGAGCCATAGTTTGCCATGCTTTAGCACCGTCTGAGTACACGGCACCAATTGCCTTTGAGTCAATGTTGTTTCTGATTCCACATCGTTCCAACTCTTTCCATGCCTACTCAGGGCAACAGGATGTGACGTGATGTGATATAGCACGCAGGATGGAAAAGAATGATGTTTATAGTCCATGTATGCTACATGGAGGGGATGTATACTTAGACCTTATGTGTATTTATTCCAAATGTATATTCATACTATATCAACGTTGCATCACGTTGCATCATCAACGTCTTCCTAGTTGGTGGAACATGTGTTGGCAACCTAGTATCAAGGACGTGGTCGTCAGGACGTTCATATCCCACCCCGCCCCACCCCAACGTGCTGTCAACGTAGAATCACGTTGCATCATCAACGTCTTCCTAGTTGGTGGAACATGTATTGACAACGTAGTATCAAGGACGTGGTCGTCAGGACGTTCATATCCCACCCCACCCCACCCCACCCCATGTATATATATATATATATACAAAAGGCAAAAATGAGCTAAAACGCACAGGCCACCCGGCACGGCGTCAGCAACTACCCATAGGGCACTGGTTAAATCGCAAAACATACGCATTAATCTGGTAAAACCCTGAATCATGCTTCATCTGATGAATCCATGGATATCATGGATAGTATACAGTAAGATATTTAACCATTAAAAATGTGTTTTCTGCATAAATCTGGTTGATATTGTTTTTCACCAACAATGATATCGTGGATGTTCAACCGTTTTTTGATCACGGTAATGGATATTAACGGACATGTAACCATCGCATGTGATGTTATTGGAATTATCATCTCATGGCTTTCCAATAATTTCCTCCTCTGGAACAAACAAGATGAAGATCTTGATGATTCTAGTGGGGAGAGGAAGACATGGGCCCTGATTTTCATGCTAAATTTGGTGTTTCAGACAGGGGGTCCGTAAACCGATCTGCAAAGTTCCGGATGGCTGCAAAGTGGGATACATCTAAAAGTTAAATGGGTGAAACTAACCACACCTATAGCCGCGGGGGTGCACTGGCAGTTTAGGATATCCAGATATATTGCTACATCAGAATGTACAATCTATCCATGTCCCAAGTGGCTTCTCTATTAAACATCGCCTTCTGGCAAATTGTTGGGCATTATCATATCCCGATTGTGTAAGTTTATCATATGTATATATGATATATATATATATAATTATATCATATGTATATATATATATCATATATATTTATATATACATACCATATTCATATATATATATCATATATATATGTGTGTATCATATGTATTTAAATATGCATATCATATTCATATATATATATATCTCATATAATATATTTACAAACACTCTGATTGATTACCTAGCTCTGGGAAATGGACAATTATAATTTTGTGATTAAAACACAAAAAAAATTACCGGAGGGTATATCCTAGCATACTCTGACCACATCCCGTATCTTGGAATCCGATTTTCTTCTTGGAATCTGGCCGCCCGCCCGGTTATTAACCACCATGGATACCATAGATGTAAGTATCAAAAACCATACATATTGGAGTAGGTTCACCAACTTTGCTTTCGTTTGCGGGTCCACTTTGTAAACCCCCACTATCCCATGTAAAGTGAGAGAGTTTACCCCACTTATTAGCCACTTACTACCCTTTGGTAAACTAACATAACTATGGAAAACAACCGTTTTTAATGGGTGAATCAATTATTTCTATGGCAATTTTCAATAGCAAACTCTTTGTTTACCAGAGGGTAAATGTGTATTACCCCACTTATGTACTAGGCACTTACTAGCCATGTGATGACCCACAGATTTCTGCCATGTTTCCAGCACCACGCCGACGCTTCGTGCGCTGGAAATCTTCCGTTGTAGCGTCATCGCCTCCTGAGAAACCGGGCGAAACGGCACGACTTCGCATCCCGCAGCCAGGTGGTTACAGTATGGATGGTTTAGGACATTATTTTACCCACATTTAAATCTGATTGGTTGATAGTCTTCTCTTCTTCTCTCACGGATGGATCATTTTGTCATAATCCCCAATAAACCCTTCATTATTGTTATATATCTGGTTGATGGTAAACCTACCCCTCTGAAAAATGATGGAGTGAAAGTCAGTTGGGATGATGAAATTCCCAATATATGGGAAAATATTCCATTCATGTTCCAAACCAACAACCAGGTATGGTATATGATGGAAGAACGAAATCACGAAATCCTGAACATTTTTTTGTATTCTTCTGAGTATTTCTATGATGTGTATGAACATAATAGAGAACAAAAAATAAGACTTGAATAATCTTAGACCATGTCATGATGATGGTGATACTGTATACAGGCACAACAGTTTTCCATATACCAATCTATATAGATGTGTATATGTGTATATATATATATATGTCCATATATATATATATACATACAGATACATATGCAAATATATATATATATATGCATATTATGTATATATTATGTACATATCAACATATCATGTCTTGTTATGTTTACACTTTGGGTTGAAAAGTGGTGTCATTGATCCATGGGACCTTACGACTTACTTGCCCTTGGCCACCTCCTCTGATGTTTCGGTCTAGCTTCCGTCGTCTCCCGCCGCTGTGCGAGCGGCGCGTCGGCGGCTTCTGGCTCCACGTAGTGGAAGCCGAAGTCATCGTCGGCAAAGCCAGCCGGAAGAGCCTGATGACGTAGGCAAGTCATGTGAGAAATGAAAAAACCTTGATTAAGCCTTGATTGATGGGAATATGTATATATAATATACTGTAATATAAATATGTATATAGAATATTTATATACATATATGTGGTTAATGGATAATAAACATATATATATATATATGATAATCATGTATGAGCATCTATATATGCTGATATACCGGATAGTATATAATACTCTGATTGATGGTGAATTTGTTGGGACTTGTACGAACTGATTTACTGCGGATCACGATGAGGTGGGATAGGGGTATTGTCTATGGCTCATGTTCATCCCAGTTATAACTACCCAAATTGGTATGACAATATATGAAGTAACTTAGGCATAGGCATACATGGCAGAATACCCTCTTGGCATGTGTGTTTTTTTAAAGAAAATTGATAAATGACTTGAAACCAGAAACTGGAATGCACCCAAAGCAATGATATCACATGATCAATGTGGACACCGTTTGTTGGTACATCGTGAGGCCTCCAAACTACGTCCCGGCGCCAATAGCCCAAAGTAGGCTGGTTAACCCACCAAAATCTGTCTTGAAGCAACGCGAATGGCGATTAAACCAAGCAACATGTTACATGGGTTCACCTGGGTGAGTTGGGTGAAAGCTGAGAAGAAATGATTTCCTAAATGGGTTTATGACGGATGCATCTACAGCTACTGTGAAACCAAACCAACTCAGAATTTTGGGTGGTCATATTGATCGTGCCATCCTTTCGGAATTCCAAAATGGTCAAAATCAAACGTGCCTGGGCAATCCCCCTTCAACGGAGGTTTTACCCATGGTTTTACTCGGAAAATCATGGAACCAACGGTGATTTCCCAGCACACCACGTTTGATTGCTAGAGGGTAGACCCATTATATTATCACAATTATATACCTACTATTAACCACCATTAATTAAATAACTTTATATATATATATATATATAACATAACTATCTATAACTACTATTTACCACCACTAACCACTATTGACCACTTAAAAAATGATCATGAATCATTTGTAAATGGCGGATGTTGCATTGCCACGTTGAATTCCCTGTTGTGCACCTCGTAGGGAATACCTTTTTGGGTGCGGAGACATTGAGCTGTAGCTTTCAATGCTAACGTTTGCCCCAAACTTCCAAATAGTTTTGATTCAGGGAACCTGAGCTATGAAAAAATGGATCAGTTTGGATTCTTCTTAAAATTCGATGGTGCCCCAAACTTCCACGTGGTTTTGAATACGGAATGGACTTCAAAATGGCACCCAAGATATGTCGCGCCCCAACCTCCTCATGCGTTTGGGGAGGAAGCGCCCGCATCATTTGCACCTGCGTTTGTCGGGGTGCTGGATGACATTCTCAGCGGGTGATCCGGGCGGTTGTTGTACCAAAACCTGAGTCGGTACTTGGTGGCCCATCCCATGTATCGTAAGTGGTTAATAAGGTGATCGCGGGTCCTCATCCTGTGGGTTATCATACATAAATGGTGTATAACCATGGTTACTAACGTGTTACTAAGTGGGATGACCCTCCAAATACTATGTCACTGCAAAGATGTCAAAGATGTGGGAATTGACAAAGCTCCCTCCCTGATGCAGGTGCCAAAAGCATACAGTTTCTGATAGGTTTCAATCACAATTTCCTCAACACCAACAGATAGAGATCAACAGTCTTGTTCGATTGTTTGGTTGTGTTTCTTGTTTCACATTCATTTTTTCTGCGAGCCCTATATTTGAAGCTGCTCCTGAGGGGAACATGCGAAACATGCTGACACCATCTTAAACTATATTTTTTTGTGGTTTATCCTACGACTAGTCTCTTGACACCTTTTCAGCAGCGCCTGCGGCTCGTAGGGCGGCGGCATCGGCGGGGGTCCCCGCGGCCGCCGTGACGCCAGGGCGTAGAACCGCCGGGAACGAGGCCCGGCGGAGCGGGGCCATGGCAAGCGGAGCATGGTGGGCCATGAGCGTGATGCAAAGCGATGGAAAGGTTGGGGGGTAGAAACTTTGGGGACATTTCACATCATTTCACCATGTTTATTGAAGTACAACCATCTCATGGGGATTCATGAGTACATAGGGAGATAACAAGGTGATTTCGCAACTCAAATGAGTGTTTTCCTGCAAAGCTCACAAGACTTCAAACTGAGCACATGGCGTTGTCTAAGAATCCTGTGACCTTGAAAAATCCTTTCATGAATCATGATCTTGACCCTATTAAAATGTCATAAATTGGAGTAAATGACCAATTTTCAGACAGGCCGATGAGATGCAGTCCGTACATGCATCACATGTACAGGAGCAACAAGACTATGGGTTTGCTGTTTGTTTCTGCTTCAAACGCCCATAATAATAGGCACGTGTCACTTGAATAGCGCGATCCCGAACCAACAAACATATAACTCACAGTCATTACTCAGCTGGATCTAGAACCTGACCCTGAAGCCAATGCTGCCAAAAACCCAGATTTGAATGTCCCCGACCATCGCTTTCTGAATCAAAATATGCATTAAATTGGCATATTTTGGTACGCCCCGAGACAAACACTATAAATTTTCCATTTGGAGACCATGAAACCTGAAGAGATGACATCCAGAAACCCCTTCTGTTGCTGGACAAGCATATGGAATTGTCTCCAAATGGACAAGCAAATAGCCATCAAACATCATAGTAGCTCTTCTTGGTCGAGTTTTGGAAGCAGGTTTGGAGTCTCCATTTTTGAAGGACAACCCCATACATCTCAAAACTGTGGATACCCAATATGTAAAAAAAAACATGGAAACTGATGAATCAACAACAGCAGTCTTGTTTGAGACGCCCGAACATTGACGAAATCTGATGCTTTGCCCACGCGAACTTATATTCCATGGCCGTACTTTCCACTTTGCAAAACAAACACCTTCCTGAACAATGAACAAATGCAATCAAATGGCAAAGGCACCCGAAGGTTCAACATCTGTCTTCATCCATTTGGGTATGGGTCAACTTCGGTATACGCTACATAAAAAACGGCGCGGATGATCTTCGACATTTCTCGACCGTTTTGAAAGATTGGGGCCCTAGTCATTGCAGTCTACCAGATTTTCTGATTGGTTTGACCATCTCTGGCCGGTGGTTTCAACCCCCAAAAAGATATGGGATTCAGTGGATCCCAAATCTCAGATTGGCTTCCGAAGCGCCTCCATGGGGTTGTCCGTACGAACCACGTAGCGCTTGGTGGCACCAGAATGGGCCTGGGCACGTTGCGCTCGACGCAGGGGGGCCAAGGGGGCCACCAAAAAGTGTCCCAAAAAACGCCGCAGTTTGCATCATTTGCTGCTGCTTATACCCATAGGATCCATGGTGCTGGCATATATGCTAACATTGGGGGTATATTGATGGTAAATGTTACCATATATAGCATACATGCATCCTATGGGATATAGATGTTGCTATGGTAGATGTTGCTGCATTTTTCAATTCGTGATTCGTTTTGGTGGGCTATCACCCCTCATATGTAGCCCTTGAGATCCGAAGCACATATGGCTTTGGAAAAGTCTGGCAACGTCGAAATAGTTTCCAGTGATGCAACCAGCCTAAAGCCCACCCATCTGACCGGTGGATGATTTGAAAGTCTTTGGGACACCCATTGAATATATTATATCGCCATGGCTTGGTTGAAACATGCTGAAACCTCATTTTTGTAGCTTGCAATAGGTGAAGTCCACCGGTAAACGAACATAACTATGGAAAATCACAATTTTTAATAGGTAAATCAACTATAAATGGCAATTTTCAATAGCTATGTTGAATTGCCAGAGGGTATAGTATACAATATCGTTCCAAGTAAATGGAGGAGTTCCATGAATTCTGCAGGCCGGCTGCTGGAGATGAGTACCAAACTGCCATGGTTGGCAGAGCCCTTGAATTACGAGCTGGATCATGATGACCAATGACGAACATGAAACAACCACCCTCAATTTTGCTATGTACATCTGGGTGTTTCCTGAAATAGGGGGTATCAAATCATCCAAGTCATTAGACCATTTGAGTATTGACACCTATGGTGACTTGGGGTACCCCCATATTAGGATACCTCCAGTTCCTCACTATGTTTTACTAAGGCTCTCCTGCAAGTATTGTCACCATTTCCAACATCCGATGTACATCATTTAGTATGCTCAAAACGCGTCGAAATCCATATTTTTTTACGTCGCAAACCATAGATTCGACTGCTCAAAACAGAGTCCGCTCCAAGGTGCACTACTCTTGTAGTTCACCACTGAACGTGCGTCCTTTCCTGGGCGTAGGATGCTGGGAAGAAGGAGGAGGGCTGTCTCATGGTGTCTCCCTGTATGTATATGTATATATATATATACTGACTGCATACATTAAAAAACACATAGGTAAACAGAAATCACCTGTATTATAAATATGTATATATATATATCTATTTATATGCATGTATGGGGAAATTTCTTAAAATGGGAAATCCCCAAGTCATCCATGACAAAACGGTTCCACGGTTCCGTATCGTCCCGGATTCCCTACATGGCACCCTACAGCCGGGTTTCAATACCAACCCTGCAGGCATTTTGGGGGCTACCCCCACTTTAGGAAACACCAATTGCTTACTGGTTGGTGGTTGCTGCTAACCCCTCTGAAAAATGATGGACTGAAAGTCAGTTGGGATGATGATTCTTCCCAACTGAATGGAAAAATAATCCAGCAATATTCCAGTCACCACCAATCACCAATTGGTTAGAAATATTGGTTCGACATGGTTAGAAAGCTGGCTTCCAAACCACGAACTGCTTGCTATGTCTTGGCCGGACTCTTGGAGCCATCGAACGTGGCTGGAAAATCCACCCATGTATGGATGAATTTGATAAGAAAAACACCTCCAATTAGTTCGGTGATGGTCCATTCTTGAAGTTTTTGATCTCCATGTTGATTGTTGGTGTAAGACCTATATTGCTATCACCATGATTTGTTCAACATATTCCAATTTTATGGGCAACATATTTCCACTAGATACCACCTAAATGGACTAAGAACATATGGATACGCAATGAAGAAAGAGAAAACACTTTTGTCAATTCCACCGCCTTAGCATGACTTAAGATACTTAAGATCCCAATGTGACACTGATTTCATCACCTTGTTTGGTGATAGTATCACAACTTCTATGGTTTATATATAAGTACCGCCTAAATTAGCCGTTTGTCTATTATGTGCATCTTGAGTAGGTTTTGTCAATAGAAACCATCGACGAATTGCCCACTTGCTGGCAAATCATATGTTTTTCCAGGTGACTTCTCCATTTCTACTGCTCCAGGCACCATTTCTGGTGGTCAAATTTCATGTCCATTGGCGCAATGACCCATTTTGCTGGTGAAATCATCATTTCTGCCGGTCAAATCACCATGTTTTGCCACTGACATCACCATTATGCTGCTCTAAACCTACGAAAAGTCGCCAAAAACTACTATGTTCAAGGGCTTCACCACCCATCACCTTTTATTGGTCCCTTCTGTTCGGGGCTCCTGGAGGTCATTGTTCTTCCATTTTAAGTCACAACGCGAGAAATACTTGGTGGCTCATCTCACTAAGTGGGTTGTATCCATGGTAAAAAGTGGGATAACTAAGGTTCATATCCCACTTATCTCATTTTTGTCCACTCATATCCACTCTCATCTCACTAAGTGGGATAAATGGCAAGTTAGGTTACTTACAATTCGCGGGGTGAAGCACCAAGTCAACATCACCATTTTTCCCGAATGCGGAGCGAAGGGTTCCCGTTTAACTGTGGGGGTCTGGGGGCCGGGGGTGTGTTCACCCGCTGTTTCGGCCCACGTTCGCGCGAGGACTCTATGGCAGGGCCGCTGGGGAACGGTGCCGAAGGGGGTCCGGGGGGGGGGAAGAAGAGGGAGGGGTGCCGAAGGGGGTCTACCGGGGGGAGAGGGGGGGTGGGGGTGGCAAGGGCATTCGGGTTCGCGGATTGTCTTGTTTCCGTTTCAGCTTCATCTCTCCCCTAAGACGCCGGACGCGGATGCCATGGAGATCGACCGGACGTCATCCACTCCTTCACCTCAGTAACTCCTGGCGAAGACACCGCGGGTTGTGGAAAACCAGACGCGTCTGGACATAAACCTCCGGTTTTTGATGGAATTTACCCTCTGGTAATTAGCTATTGAAAACGGTCCATTTATAGTGGATTTACCCATTGAAAATTGTGATTTTCCATAGTTATGTAAACGTTTACCAGAGGGTAATGATTTAATGGCTCGCTGGCGGTGTACCTACCCTTCTGAAAAATATGAGTTCGTCAATGGGAAGGATGACATCCCATATATTATGGAAAAATCAAAAATGTTCCAAACCACCAACCAGGGATTCAATGGGGATTTACACTCGGTAAAGCAATCCCAAACGAGATGTTTAGGTATCTTCGTCTGCCAGGATGCAATGGGATTTAATGGGATTTCATGGGGATTCAATGGGGGTTTCAAGGGATTTAATGGGATGTACTGGGATGTATAACGCCAACAATAGGTATAGTATTGGGGATACCCTCAGGTACTGAATGGTGAAACCTGATAAGGACCTACTATTTGGATATAGGGCACGATGGCCATTTGGAGTCAGTACGGGGCCCCACTGCGTAACAAGCACGTCGTTACATGAGGACATTACAATTTCTCGAGCTGTATGTAAATGTGTACAGCAACATCAGTTATGTTTTATATTTTAGATTTAGAAACCAGGTTGTGAATGTATTTATGTAAACAATTTTACGGCAAATGCCTGGGCTTTGCCCGGAACGGGGCAACGCATCATCATCATGATCATCATCATCATCATCATCATCAAACCCTTTTTGAAGATCTTGAATGAATGTAGAAGTTTAACGGGGGTGGGAGAATTAAACCCTTATCGAAGATCCTCAATAAATGTTGAAGTGGGAGAATTACACCCCTATCGAAGATCTTCAATGAATGTAGAAATTTAACGGGGGTGGGAGAAGTAAACCCTTATCGAACATCTTCAATGAATGTAGAAGTTTAACGGGGGTGGGAGAATTAAACCCTTATTGAAAATCTTCATTAAATGTAGAAGTTTAACAGGGGTGGGAGAATTAAGCCCTTATCGAAGATCTTCAGTGAATGTAGAAGTTTAACGGGGGTGGGAGAATTAAACCCGTATTGAAGATCTTTAGTGAATGTAGAACTTTAACGGGGATGGGAGAATTAAACCCTTATTGAGGATCTTCAATGAATGTAGAAAATCTATTTTCATGCTCCAGGGTTGTTTCGTGCATTTCCTTTTGGCGTATCTTTTTTGGCAACAAAATTTCCTTTCAAACCAAAGTTTTTTTGATGTCGCCATTACTTTCTTCAAATCCTTCAGACAGGGGGCGTGATGACAAAAAATCAATCTATAGTGAGCCTACAGATACCAATCCCATTCTCAGCATGAAGGGTTTGAATAGATCTGGCTCTTGGAATACAAATCTTAAAGTATGGAATTCATGTACTAGGCTATTTCCCTGTGTTTGGGGTTGGCCGTCAAACCACTTGAATTATATTGAGGATACTTTGCTGACGCCTTGTGATGAATTAAATGACTTTTAAGAAATATAGTGGCGGTGCTGAGAGGTATACCATGTCTAAGAAAAGCAGGTGAGATTGACATCACCTTGGCCGAGCAGAGTCTGGACCGCCACTTGCAGGGAAAGCAAATTCCATCCATGCACAAGCGCTTGAGCCGCTGTACAAGCGGGCGTTGGATGGAATTTGGTTTACCAATGGGGGAAGTGTTGAAAGAGACACCCAGTAGATTTGAAAATCACAACCCTTTTGGAAAAGGGCTGATCACTGGAAAGGCGACCGGGCGTTGAACAAGCGCGAGTGATTTTCAAAGCTACTGCACACTGAAAAATGTGGGAAGTCCGCAGCTAAACATTCAGTGTAAAGGAACCAGCCGCACACGGTTTCTTTACCCTGAGTGTTCATGGGCTGATGTTCGCATACACCACACACCCACAGTATGCGCATACCTGGCCATCTATGTCTCAAAGTAACGATGCGCTGGCTGGTAAATATGTGTGTCAAGCACGCTTCTATACCTCATGTTCTTTCCATTCAGGTCCATTCAGAATTAGCCATCTCTTTAAAAAGAAAACCTGACTGGGCTTCAATGGCGCGGAGTTCAAGATGGGAAAACCGATCGATTGCATTCAATTGCGCTGAATTACTCCATGATTATATTCTGTCGTAACATTAAAGGTTAACACAAACAGTGGGGGCAAACTTGAACATGTTTCCACATGTTTGTCACTGGTTTAGTTGTGGTGCTGAAAAACGCACTATAGCGCTGAACAAGCCCTGAAGAGTAGGACTGAACAATCCTGGATAAAATGGTGGGCAATCATCATGAGACACTGTGCCTAATCAAACGTGTGGTGTTTAGAACTATCATTGATTGTCTCGCTGGCTTCCCCCCGCACAAGCATTTCTGATGCCAAGGGTGAAAGATTTGGAACAAAGCTGTTCCTCAGCCGGCACGCTTTGCAGGGGTGGGCTGTTGCCAGGTGGGACAGCTGGCTCTGGTGGACGGTGCTGGCCGGCGAGTCTCAGACTTGCCATCTGGGGCTGCTGCAGGATGGCTCGGGTTGCCAGGGAAGGTTTCGGTGGCGGAGCAGGCGGTGAGGGGTGCCCAGCAGGACACCCACAAGGCCCAGGCGATGCTGCATTCAGGATGGAGAAGGGCTTGTGTTAAAAATATGTGCATACATACATATATATATATATATATATATGTGTGTGTGTGTAAACATCTATAATGTGTATGCAATGTACTGCATGTATCAGCTACAGTCAGCTGGTGGATATTCATCCACAGTCTAATGAGATAAAGGCTTCCTACAATGGGGGTACCCAATATAGCTGGATGGTTTATAATGGAAAATCCATCTATAAATGGATGATTTGAGGGTATCCACATTTTAGAAAACCTCCATATAGTTCTTGATCCATTCTCAAAAAACAAAAACATATCACTTTAGACCCAAAGCAAGATGGAAACGACAAGACTTCTATCTTCAATTGACACAAATTCTCCAAAGCACATGTTTCAGGTCATAATCCTCAGTATCCTCAGTAGATTAGGTAGCATAAGTCCCTATATAGACCAATCAACCAGGCTATTTGGTTCATGGCTCAGGTGGATATGTCCAAAGAATTCATTGCTGAGCCGAAGATCTCCCTAGCAACAGCCGACCTCCCAGCGGCTCCTAGCTGCTGCGTAGGAGTCGGCGATTGCCTGTGTCACATATCTCGAGAAACTTCTACGTTGCATAAATTTGTCTGCATATTTAATTTATGTATGTACAGTAAAATTACATTTGCACATTTATTATCCTTTATCGATGCTGAATATACTTACAGTTAGACGTTAAATGTTCAACTCGTATATCTTTATTTATTAAAAGATTTATGCAAAGATGCTGCCGGTTGTTTTCATCCCTCGTTGTTCACCGTTGAACATCAGATGCTGCACATACAGGTATATAAATACGTGTTTTGCCTAAATCCCTCTGGTTGATTCCGGTTGCTGATCAATGCAGTGTTTATACCTGGTAGTCTCCTTCAAGTGAGTGATCACCTAATTAATCATTGATTCATCTGTGTAGAGCAATAAATTGTTTATTGCATGGACATCCCTGTTGGCTGTTGACCCCACACCTCCAATATCATTTGCAACCAATATCATTTGCAAGTCCAACATCTTAATTACATCGAACCCTGAAAGCAATGTTTCCACCAATCAAATCTGCAAGTTGGCATTCTTGCGTTCCAACCAAAAATTCCATGCACGTTCCAACAGTGTCGAACAGATTCTCCACCTCAATGGATCACTGAGGCAGAAGCCGGATTTATCGGGGTTCCAGAACAAGATAGCCTAAGATAGCCCGAAATCCTCATGAAGACTTAATACAATTCCAACCAATATCTCTGCTTATCCTTGAACATCAATATTAAGACACATAAGTCATGCTATGGGTATTTGTTTTTATACACCAAGGACTGACCCATCGTGCCTAAGATTAGGCGCGCTGCTCGGCCGCGAACGTGGTCGCTGGTGCCTTGACAATTCTACATGGCATCGTGTATCTCTATATGTTATCATGATATCGTATGATATCTTAATCCCAAGATATGTTTATTGACTTAATACCCAATTCATGGTAGTTAATGATATTCTTAATATGGTAGCATGACTTAAAGTAACTCCCAATCATATCATCATATTGGTTATTTGGGTACTATGAAAAAGGGGGATCCAATAACGAGGATATCATTGACATATTCATATTCCCATAAATCTGTGTCTTATGGTACAACTCAAATTTACTTCTCATAATCTACTACTACAATCACAATCTACTTATGGTAATCCTAGTATCGTAGTAGGGTATCCTTGGATCTTCCTTTTCAGTCTTCTTCGGGTTCGCTATATATCAAATGTCCGGCAGAAACACAAACGATTGGGCAACCACTAAACTGCCAATGAATCCAGTTGAAGGTTTACCCAGGGTGACTTTACCCAGTTAAACAATGTAAGAACAAAACTTAAATGGATTCAACACTACCAAAACGCCCGAGATGCTCAGAACAACTCACATTGGCTGACATGGATTGCATGATCGATTTCAGCCAGTGGTATAAGATCCTTTTGTGCTCACAGAGTGTCGGCCAGTGGTGGCACCGCGTCGTGATTGCACATTCCTGACACTGGATATGTTCCGTCGGCTTTTCGGGAGCAGCCAAGATGAGAGACAGGACATTCACCATTGCTTCTGCGGTTGCTTTGCGCCACCTGCACTGTGTGCTTTGCGCCTGCATGCGCCAGTCCAAACAGCGCGTGCTTCCCACCAAGAAACTGGTCAACCCGTTAGTTGATATATTGTGTAGATGGGTTTAGCTCACGATTATCACATATGTTACATTTACATACTGTTACACACTGGAATGCTCATGAATGCTCGTCCTTTTCTCGGGTTAATTTCAAGAGCAAAAATCTTATGATCTAAAACAATCTAAGACATAATATCCAAGATATATTTGACACAATCTAACACCTATTTTCAAAAACCACTTGCAGCCTTAGATACTCCTGTTTTGTTTTTCAAAAGCTGGGCTAAAAGCATTCCTCCAAAGCCACACCTGGATTGCTGCGGATGCTCAATGGCGAACTGCTCACCTGGGCAGAAGGTGCAAATTTTGATCAACATAGATATTCTATCATACTATTACTTATAGAAATGGTACCTATAGTCTATTTAAGGATACTTATCATACTATAGAACTGGTATTCTATCACAACTGTTCCATATAATTACATCTTTCATAGGCACTATTACATAATTTCAACGATCAAGTACCTACAAGAAAACATAGATTGGGGTTGCACAGAACTATTATATAGCTGGGTATTGTTGTCATTCTTCAACATCACGCCCTGGTAGAGGCGTGATTCAATCGTCATTCTTTGAATGTCATGTTCCCACTTGTGTTGTTTTAAAATTACATCTTCAATAATTGATCAGTAATTTCCACTATAACCATCAACCACCAGGAGTTTTGAGTACCATAAAGAACCAATAGTTCTGGAGAATAATCATCAACCACCACTATCATGATGGAATTTTGACACCTACAATCTAGGGCCATGTGTTGCTTTGTAACTCGTCGAATTCTGGTGGATGTTTATGGCTGATATTTCCAGTAGGGTTGTGAACCTGAATATAACTCGGGGGCCCACACAGAAATGACGCTACTTGGAAGAGCATCTGCAGTAAGTCGACAAGAGTAAAAACCAAGAAGAACTGGGCTGGACATGCCATGCATGTAACGTTATATAATATCATGAATCATGATTGTGAATCACATTCTCTGTTGCCTGATCTCTTCATCAAGCAGAATACCTTCCATACCTTCTGATCCGACGCCTTCGGGCTGAAATTCCACGGATCCCCGGGAAGCCGCTGTGGACGAGCCGGGACCTGCGTTTTTCAACCACGGCAAAAAAAGGTAAATGTTGGGATGGTGGTGACTCTATTGTTTAACTAACATTACATCTAAATCTCAATGAGAATAAGATATGACAATATTAAACATACATATAGATAGAGAACTTGAAATAGATGAAATAAACCATATATATATATAATAGAAATAATATGCATGTCGTGTGTAAATGATGTAGATGACGGTATACTATACATCTCCGTGTGTTTGCTGTGTGCCACACATACAAAATAAGTCAAATGAGTGTTCAAAGTCAAAGAGCTAGCAGCCCCATCAGGGGTACCGGAAACATTTTGACCCATGAGAACACAAAAGGACGAGGGATACAATTTCACTCAGGCTATTGAAAAAAACACAATGAACATGGAGACAGTGTTTGTGAATTGCTGAAACATATATTTTCCTACCGTATGAACAAGCATTCAAACAATCCCGAATTCCAAATGATTGCCCAGTTGACGGAGATGTCACCTCCCGAAGTTTTGACCCCCCTATGTTTTTCACTGGTCTACTGTTCTAGCTCTAAGATATACGGTTTGATCCCCATGTATCTAGCGAATTTACACCCAGTTCTATTGCTTGACCCTTTGACCCATGAATTTATTGAGTCAACCCGGACCGAACTCGTGTTTTTTCTCATTATACACCATTGAGAACCCATCTTGAATCTTGACACTAGTCCACATCGTCCGTGCAAGGCGTAGACTGTTCCATTCACTATATATCATTACAATAGGATCTTGTCTTGATGAAGTCACCATGTCCATTATACAGTATTGTAATGACAATATAATATGTGTATATATATAGATATACAGTATATATGACAATGATATACATTAACCATAAATGAATGCGGGTTTCCAAAAATGGAGGTATCCAATAGCTGGATGGTTTATAATGAAAAATCTCATTAAATTGGTGATGACTGGGGGTACCCCGTGACTTAGGAAACGTCCAAATCTATATAGTATATTTTATTATTGGTGATACATAATTCACCATATATGATGTATATATCTATATATAATATACCAATTAGTCGTAATATCACTGGCATATTGGTTCAGGATTTATGGCATATTACTACTAATTGGTATATTATACCAGTAATATTACTGGCATAAAATGATTAGATATTAAGTGACCATTTCTATCGGTTTCGCACCACAAGATTTGCGGAAAACGTTCCCGCCTGTGAGGTCAATGGTTCCATGGTATGTCTCCTCAGAGAGCAGGCTGTTCCGTGTTCCGCTACGTTGCAAACCTCCGCGTAGACGAGGAAGCTGTGGAGGTTCCAACAAAAATGTGGGGCCGCCAAATATGTATACAATATATAATGTATGTATATATATATATATACATATATATATATATGTATATATACCTACAGCCTCCAAAAAGCACTTCTTTTTCGGTTGCCAGAAAATTAAATGTTCTTTCAAAATAAAGGGGTTTTTTTCAGCAAGGCATTTGGTTACGGGAAATTACGGGTAGAAATTTGGAAAACATGGTTTTTCGATTTCAAGCCAAAAAAAACTTAAGTATATATATATATATATTATTATTATTGTTATTGTTATTATTATTGTTATTATTATTAGTTTTCATTATTATTTATTATCATATACTATATTAAAAATATATGATATAAATAAATTAAATAAATATAGAAAACATTATGTATATGTATGGATCAATTTAAACATTAAATAGAACCTAGAGTTGAATGGATCATAAACCCACTTGTAGCGCAGGGCATGCCACATTGGACCCTCCGGTACTCAATATGGCACGCTGTAAGATCATCCATCTGTATCTACAAAAATAAATAATTGCGTTTGCTTTGAGAGTACTGCACCAGGATTCCCGGCTTTAGCAAACCCTGTGAAACGAGTAGTTCGTAAAAGAACACATCTGTCAACAAGGATTGCAGATTGTAGTAAATGGTCATCATACATGGGATATATTTAAAAACATGGTCATATCTTATGGTCATATTCCATTGTCAATATCAATGGTCATATAAATGGTCCCAGATTCATCATACCTTCTGGTAAGCGTTTTTATAACTATGGAAAGATCCACCATTTTCAATGGGCAAATCCACTATAAATGGGCCATTTTCAATAGCACACTGTTAAATTGCCAAAGGGTATCAATAAAAAAAATCATGAATTGGGATATCTCAATGTGGGAATGCAGCTTGAAGTTAGTTAACCCATGGATGCTCACAGTGGCCGACACGTCGCAATCCGAGCCAATAAGGAGTGTCATAAAAAGGATGAGCAATTTATCTGGATTTAACTATGACATATTATGACTTATGATTAATGAAAACTAATGAAACACGACTAATTACCTGGAATTATTTGGATTAATGATGATTATTTAAGTGAGCGGGAACGATCATCAAATTCTTGCCAACCTTAAGGGAATTCCCAACCGGAATGGGCCAGATAAGTTTTCTGAGCGAAGATGCTTAGTGATGCTTTTACAGGCTCTCAACATGTGAATCTTATGCTGACTTCAGCATGTACAATTTTGGGACAAACAATATCATAAATATTCGTATCTGTTAATTCGGGCCATGTACCACAACATCTTAAGCATAGGCGTAGACCTTCGCATAAAAATATGCACATAATATGATTATATATATATATATATGTAGTTATAGAAATGTATATAGTTATAAAAAAAAATGTATATAAATTCATGAACTAAAATTATATGAAAATGTTCGTGCATATATGTAAAACATATATAGGCAAACATCCACCGACATCTACCAATATGTTTGGGATGGGGTAGTTTACGCACCAATATGTTCCGGGGTCCACCATAGGCCACCTATATGTTTATGTCTATGTATATGTGTATGTATAGGTATATGCGTATGTATATGTAGATGTAGATGTATACATATACTATATATATATATATATGAAGTCCAAGGACTCAAAAAGTACATCCTGTAAACACACTTTCAATCTACCTTTTGAGGTCCCAGACCTCAAAAGGAACGTTGCTATAAACACCCTTTAAATGTACCTTTTGAGTTTTGAGGCCCCGGACCGGAAAAGGAACATTGCTATATAGCATCCTTAATTGTGAGTAATTAATCGCGAGTAATCGTGAGTAATCGTAAGCAGGACCCTAAAAAGGCCCTCGGGCCTGAAAGGTATACGGAAAGGCCGTAAGAGGTACACATAGCAGCTCAAAAATCGTGAGAAATCGTGAGTGAGTTGTGACTGAACATTGCTATAAACCCTTGGCCGTGGAATTCAACAACATTGCTATGAACCCTCGGCCGTAGAACCTCGGCATTGCTATGGTTTCTCGGCGACGATCCTGGTTTGTGCCACTTTCGGCAAGGACTCAAAAAGTACATAAAAGTACGGCCTTCGGACTTTGAAGGATATGTAGATCTAGGTGTAAATTGTATATGCATTTGTGTATGGAAGGATATGTAGATCTAGGTGTAAATGAAGGATATGTAGATCTAGGATGTGTTTCGCGGGTTTCCACAGGGCCGGCAGCATTCCGTCTTCGCCTGGTCGCTCCATTCGTTCCACTGGGCACTTGGCGCCACGGAAGCGATCTGAAGTGGTGGGCCTCGCGCAGACGGAATGGATCGATACAGATATGCCACTAATAGATACCACTAATGGTTAATGGTTAATGGTGAATGGTTAATGGTTAATAGATAGTATAGATGGCAGTTAATGGTTGGTAGTTAGTAGTTACATGATGTTACATGATTATATGGCACATGAAACAATAGTACTAGTGGTTCCACATATTCGGGATCTAATTGTACAGTGGTAAAGGGAGAGTTGTTTGATCTATTAGTGGTTAAACAATGGTTCGGTTTGGTATATAATGTATGGCCATTTACCGATTGATTGTTGTAAGGGCGGCCGGAGACCTCTCTATTATTCAACCGGCCAATGGGAAAAGGACATCTACGATACGATAATAGCTACCATAAACTACACCAGAAATAGTTATGTCAACCAGATTCCCGTTAGTTATACAGAAGCGAACACAATTCATAGTTTACGCATGTTTACAGAAAAACATATACAATTTATGACCCTATAATCAGCTATAACATGCTAGAACTGACCATTCCAAAAAATGTGGTATGGCTCACGTAAGTTGAAGCAGTTAAAGTGTCATGTGCAACTGGCTTAAAGGGGCATGACTCTAGTTTGTTTTTCTGGCAGCAAAAATTAGCATTAACAAACAAAAATAATGTTTTAATTAGTATGATTTAACGAACCACGTGTGTGATTCAACCTGCGAAAATGATACACTTCAACCAGCACACGCTGTGATTCAAACACTTTGAAAAAGACATAAAACAACACATTTGCAGTTTGTCACGGAGTGAGATGTGCCCTAAAAGGTGCCAAAAATATATGTTGAACATTACTGTAGGTTTTGGAGACTGGGGTGGGGCGAAATACTCTATTATTGGACGAAACTATAGACGGATGCGCATAGAAAAGCAAGCGCTATGCATAGGTAATTGGCGCGTATGATAAATTTAACCCGCACAGCAGGGATACAATCCGAACTGACCGACCTGGAAAACTTGGTTTGGTTCTCACACTGCGGTGCAATTTGGTATACATTTTTTGTTTTGCGGGAGTGATGTTTTTGACGCTCAAACACACACATATACTTGACCTACAACACAAATTCGGGAGGGGTCATGTTGGTCCAGGCAGTTTTTCATCAGGATCTAAGACATTCATGCTGTCACTGAAGGCAGCACAATATTTTATCAAACCAACGTTTGCCCAACATATAAGCACCGTGAATTCGAAAAAAAAAAACATCCTGACATGGATGCGTGCTGTGAAAGAGAAATGTGCCGATTCTAGCCTCATCATCATGTTAGAGCTGATACGTCTAAAATTAAAAAACATGAGCACCACGTGGGTTTGGGTTAAACATCCCAAGGCTGAGACCTAGAACGTGACTTTTGTCGCGCAAGTAGACAAAAACATGACATGATGGGTGTTGTACACAACGGGTTTTGAAAGGCAACATTTATAATGACATGATGTGGCAGCCAGCGTCGCAACAAAAGTGGGGATAGCGCATCCAATCTGTGGACACGCCGAAAGTTCAAACATCATGGGCAAGGCTTTTCCCTGACATTTTGTGTCTTTCACCTGATGCCAGGAGAATGCCCCTGAAGGCCTGTGAAAACCCCAGCGGTCCGGCAAAGTAGTTTGCAAAAAAGTGGAAAATGTCACCGCATGCCATGTAGAAAGCAACAACGTCTCATCGGAAACCCACGATCACACATAAGTCAAGCCAGTACCAACGCTCGATTTCCAAACTTGAGGACCTCCTTTGGGCTCCCAAAACAAAGCCCATCAAAGCCCATGGTAGTTGGTATCACTGCATCCTCCTGCGCACTTGCCATTCTAATGGACTAGCAACCTTGTTAACCATGTCAAATTACATTCTCATGTTTGATTGGCCTCATGCCCCTCCATGTTGTTGGTGAAATTACACCAAGCCCCTGAGTTTTCGAAGCCTCCTTTTGCTGGTCGATGGGATTTTGGCCAGTTCGGACTGCTCCTCGCGCCTGCGGCGTCAGGGCAGCCCTCGGGGTCAATGGCTTGCAAGGTTGCGCGGCGCCATAAGCAAGTTGGTTGATGTTTGGTTCATCAACATGGGTTAACATGGGTTAACTAGGTTTATGGCACGGTAGATCTATCAGGAAAGTAAATTGATAGACCAACTTAGAACTGGGAAGGCCCGCGTGTAACGAATGGATTAGGATGGCCTATAGGAAACAAAAGAAAAAAGCATAGTCGATAAACGATCAACCAAAGAAAAAAAAACCTTCAGCAAACATCGACACAATGAGAACCTTCTTTTTTACAGTTGGCCGCTCCCTGTGCAATGCCTTGGGACTTGGGACAGGTCATAACTAGCTGTAGCTGGTTTACGATCTTGACGCTGTAAGTAATAGCAATCTTTTTTGATCAAGCTGCTTGCAAACATGCACATAGAATAGAACTTTGTAAAAGGAACTCATTCATTCTTCGAATGTTCAAAAATGCCGCGGTATCCTCTTTCGAATCCCCGATCATCACCAGTCTCTGTTTACAATTCGTTGTTTTTTTGCGTGAATAAAAACGCCCCGCCATATACGGGAACGACATATTTCCTCACGAGGCTGCTACCTTGCGGAACAACTATCTCAATACTTATGGGTCGGACAGTTATGAACAATTGAGTATCCCAGTATCCCCGTATCCCCCTCAGTTTGTCTACACAAATTAGATCGAATTAGCATAGGACAATACAGGTACCATCAGGGGTACCGCTGGAAACACCAGCGGGTGGGTGGCTGAGGTAATCCTGTTTATTATTGTGTGTTTCCCTGCGCTCCTTTTTCAAATTGACCCACGTTCTAAAACCCGAACTGTGTTCATGTTAAGCAATTGTTATTAATTAGTTGTTATTATATGTGTTATTGCAGATGTTCATTGTGAAACAATCTCCTGCGATGCGACTGTCAGATCTGTCAGAATGCACAAAAAAAAGCGCTGCTGACCTATTCAGTGCCTTTAGCTGCTGTGAGATGGCGGTTGATGTTAGTCAACAAAACATATGCCCTTCATGTCCCTTCACTATATATGATATAATATATGTATATATATATATACATATACACTACATCATATAATATACATTAATATACAGTAATACTATATATGCAAATAATCCCTTCTTCCTATTGCTAAAACTCACCCAAGTAAAAAAATAGGATTGGTGTGGCACTTCCGGTTTTGTTTGGTTGGGCACAATTGGATTCTTAATTGTGGTAATTGAGAATCAATACAGGATGGTGAAACAATGGGTTCCAACCCCTACTAGTATTAACCTATAAATTAAAATACATTGCCACCTGGATGTTTTTTTATTAGGGTCCCATCTCACAAGTTTTATTCTTTATGTTCATTATTAAGGTTTTCATTGGAATATTAGGGGAAAGCATCGAAATCCGGTTTTTGGCAAGATTTTATAGAGATTTTTATAAGGGATTTAATCAAATTTGAAAACGAGTCTTTTTTATTTTTATTATTAGGGTGTTCATTGGAAGATTAGGGGCACCCTAATACACAATACCTCTTATATAATAGTAAAAATAGATCACCGTGTTTACCATTTGGGGGTGGGGGGTTTAGTAATGGGAGAGGGGATTGTATACACATACACCTACACACAAATACATGTAAGCTCATTAGCCACCACTCCGCATGTGTTGGGATCCAACTTGGGCAGCAAGAAAATAGATGGCCATAGAGCGTTCGCCTTCTACCCAAAAACTTGCCCCAAAAAAGAAAGAACCGCTCGTGTTGAATCGAACGTAGGACTAAAATCATTTACGGTCGATTTAATTAGGATGATTTAGGGTCCCTATATCATGTCTTGGATTGTAAGCTCTGGGATATGATGTTTTTTTTTAATCGTCAACCAAACAGACTTCATTTCTTTTTCGGGCGAACACACCCCAATTTTGGGCTGATTCAATTCAATTGTTAGTGACACTTCTCCATACAAACTGCAAATGATGCATATATCCATATCATCATGTAGAGCATACCACATTGTATATGTATTAATCTATTGTAATATATATATACTGATACATTTAAATGTAATCTATTATATATACATAAATGTGTATGTATATGTATGTATGTATGTATGTATGTATGTATGTATGTATGCATGTATGTATGTATGTATGTTTGTTTGTTTGTATGTATGCATGTGTATATTGTGTTTTTCTATATAGTACACCTATATGCAGCAAAAGACAGCCATGAATCATTGGCCCGGTCAGCCTGGAAGGGGCACTTTGAGGGCGTGACACCTTCTGCTGGCTCCAGACCACCGCGTTTTGAGTTGGCACAGCAATGGCTTTTTGCGGCACAGCCTGGGAGTTCCCACAAGATGGGGGTTCTGACGATCGAACGAATGGGAAACCCAATGAGACTGCGAAGTTAATCATAGAATCGACATCATCGGTTAGTAACTACCTAAAATTTTGCATACTTGCAGTTTACCAGGTAGTAACCAGGGTTGTAAACCTGTAAACGATTCATATAGTAGATATCTTTTTAAACCACTTAGAGGACTTACTACCCAGGTTTGCTAAGCACATACGATCCGTGGGATAAGCCACCAGGTAACTAACCGTCATGGCTTGCACATTTGTTTTTTTTGGTGTACGCATGGATTTATTAAGGTGATAGATTCTGAGATATCAGTTGTACTGGAGGGCTCCATGTTGGTACAAATGATTGGTGTAATCGCTGAATCAGGTTGATGAGCGTCATCGCTGCATTAAAAAGAATCCCCAATATTAAAGATCCCATCCAAGGTCGACCCAGTTCTATGTATTACTCTCCAGTAAATTAACATAGACCCTACCAGATAGGATTTGGAAGATTAGTTTCCACTCAAAATCGGTGATGTTCAGGGTCGAACTGTTAATTTACCAGAGGGTAAAATTCCCTACCTTGTACTAGAAAATATAGTACCCTCTGGTAAACTAACATAGCTATTGAAAATTGCTATTTATAGTTGATTTACCCATCAAAAATGGTGATTTTATCGATAGTTATGTTAGTTTACCAGAGGGTAAAGCTTAAACAAATCCTTCATGATCTAAGTCTCCGATGATCTGACACAAAGGTCTTCCAGAACACAGGAGGCGGTCTATGCAAAGGCGGTATAGCCCTGAAACCATCCCCAAAAACAGCTATAACTGGCTTATAATATCTTATCATGATATACTGGTTGGTGGTGTACCTACCCCTCTTAAAAATATGAAAGTCAGTTGGGATGATTCTTCCCAATATATCATGGGAAATAATCCAAATGTTCCAAACCACCAACCAGAATGATATATCATATGCTATAATGGTTATATTATATTTAATGTAACTTGTGAGAAATCATGGGCTTATCCCGACTAACAGTCAGACAGCGCCAGGAAAAAACCGACTCGTTACAGGAGTTACTGGACTCGTCCCACCTGGCCTGAAGCTTCCTCCAGGTGTTCTCCAAGTTCTCCCCAGGTGCTTCCTGCAGCAGTTTAAGCGACATTGAACATGGCCATTGATGTTTGCTTTACCCTCTGGTAAACTATGTGTCAGTTTGCGAACTGGGAAGATCCACCATTTTTAGTGGGTAAATCCACTATTTCGACTGGGCCATTTTCAATAGCTATGTTTGTTTACCAGAGGGTACTTCGTAAAAATGGTGATGTTCCATAGTTATGTAAACGTTTACCGGTATATTTCTCTCACGGCCAATTGTATCGAAGTTCCATATATCACTTGTTGAGCAGTCAGCTCCCCCGCTTCGACTTGGGACTTTCTTTTGGCATCGACCGGCAGGGCCGGTTTCTTTACAAGAAGCACTAACACCACGCAGGCGTCTGAGAGAATATGAGCCATGGCAAGTCGGGCGCGAGGGCCAGTGCTACATGGTCCATGAAGGGCTTCAAGTCACTACTCCTTAATGAGTAAACCGGCGGTATGGTAATATTGGGGATAATCATCTGCAAAATTATGATCTATACATTCGGGCTGAATTATAAGACTCGTTTTGGAATGCTTACCCTCATTCACCACCATTCCAGTGAGTGAGGTCGTTGTAATTCATCCAATAATCATCCCAAATTCTGAAGTGATACATTGCTTGATTGGTTGTTGGTGGCTTCCCCAGCAAAGTGAACCTCAGGGTCTATCTTGAGATTGCGCATCTAGCCTCCCAATCTATCCATGTCCGATCGGAAAGCACATTGGGTGCACTTCTAAAACTACAAGCGGAAATGTGGAATACCTCCCTGTGCCTTTGTGTATTTACAGGTTTCAGCAAGGGTTTATCCTATTAACCCAACTAGACTGATAACCCTAAAACAAGTGAAAGAAACCGCTAAGCTACGCGACTCAGACCCTTTTTCACCTGAGCCGCGAATGCTAGTCAGCATGCTATGATACACCTATGTTTTATATGGGATGCAAATACACCCCCCTCAGGTGAGCCGGACACGGCAAGGCTGCCCACTTACTAGGGCGAGGCTTTTACACCTGCCTTACCGAGCCAGCTCTTTGCAGACCTGAGGAAAACATACAAAAGTACAGCGGCTATATACAAACGATCGTCAATGCAAGCAGTGTCAAAATTTATCCCTCTTCCCATTCGACTCGGCCATGCCTGATAACCTTTTGGTACCAGCGCCCATGCCACTTTTGCCACTCATTGGTGAACTGTCGATCTTCACGGGAATGACTTTGCTGAGGGCGATTGAGCCACTGACTTGCTGACGTGGATGATGAGGCTACCTCTACGGTGGATGGTCGGGCAACCGGTTTGGCGGTGCCTTTCTTAGAGGGACCTTGGCCGTACGCTCCAGTCTGCTCAGCTTTGCGCTTGGCCTCATTCTGCTCTCGAGCCCTGTCAGACTGCTTCTTCTTCTCTGCAGCGTTCTGCTTGTACAGCTCCTCGTTTTGTCCCTTGATCCACCTCAAATGACGTTCAGCATCATGAACGGCAATGTTGTCAACACCAGTACAAGACAACAAAAGATTGTGTCCAGGATTCCGGTTGAGATAGTCAATGTACTCTTCCTCGGAGTAGATTTCCGTACGGTACATGTAGAACCATGGTTGGTCAATGTACCTGAATGATTTCGGGACATCAAGACGGCTTGCCAAGTCCAAGTAAACCAGCCTCATCGCGTTGTGCTCAAGCTGAGATTGCTCAGAAATACCCATCTTGACCTGAGCTTTGGTGCGACCCGGCTTTGGCAAATGTGCAGACTTGAGGAGGTCGTACCTTTCACAATCGTACTCGTTCTCCCCCTCGTTCAGCACGCTCTCTGCGAATGTGGCGTCCTGGGCAAACCTGTCAGCCACAGACACATAGCCCAAGCTCAAGGCACGGTCGAATCGACTCTTTGCCCTTGCCAACAAACTGGCTTCTGGACTAGAGCTTCCTCTTGCCTGGTCGTCCAACAAACCCAAAGATTCAAGCTGACTGTGTGTGATGCTCTGCAGGTACTCACCACGAAAATCATAGTACAAGCCCAGCTTGTGAAGGGCGGCCTTCCTTCGTTCTGCAATCTTGGTTCGGTCGGCCTTGTTCACCCCTTCAAGCATCAATCCACACACATCGCATTCAATCTGTCCCTTGAAAGTCTGTGCAAAACATCTTGAACATTGCGTGACTTCAATCTTGACCGGCACCGGCTTCTTGTCCTCCTTCTTCACCTCTTTCTTCGAAGGTTGGTCATCGCCTTTAGGGCGAGACTTCTGCTTTGGCACCAGTGACTTTGATGTTGATGCCGGCGTCTTTTTGGGTGACTCTGCAACTGGAGCTTTTGGATCTTTCTGTACTGCCTTCGGCGGTGCAACTTTTGAAACAGGCTCCAAGAAGGCCGCAGCTGATGATGCCGCAGGCACAGCTGCGGGCACGCTTGTCAGGGCTGCCTTCTTCTTTGCAGGTTCATCCTTTGCTGCTGCATCAACTTCTGAGGTCACAGCTTTTGGAACTTCTGGTGCATGAGGTGCAGAAGTCCCTTCCTTCGGTGATGGTTTTGGAGGCGCTTTCGGCGGTGTCTTTGGGCTTTCAACCTTTGCTGCAGGAGGCTTTGGAGCTTCACCCTTCGGAGGAGGGGGCAACAATCTTCTGCTGCTTGCATATCCAGGCATACCGGCAAGTTGGGCCACATTTGGTGGCGGAGGCTTCACCTTTCCTGGGAAAAATGCTGTTGCAGTGGGCGCGCCAGTTGAGGCGGCCGGAGACTTGGAACCAGTCCGTTTTGATGCCTTGGCCTCAAAGGTCTCGACAAGCTCCTGGACTCCAACTTCTCCCCCACTGCTCGCTGCAGACTGTGCGACCTCCTGCTGGCGACGATACAAATTCACCTTCTTGGCAGTGTCATCGACAGAGATAATGTATTGAGGCGGTACGACGTCACTTGTCAAAATGCCGTCAGGGGCCGTCCTGAAAAACACAATGCCAGCTTTGACAGCTTCAGCCATTGCTACCCTGATTTCAATGGGTCGTTCAGCACGCAAACCGCTCACATACTCTTTCTCGTCGACACGCACTTCGCTAAAATAGGAGTGTGCTCTGCCTGATGAATTTCGTTCTCCTCCTCCAGCAACGAAGCCATTCTCAATGATGCCCTTCCAATTGCCTTTTGTAGTCCTGTGATAAACTACGCCGGGGCACATCTGAGGAGTGGTAATCTTTTTACCTTTGGCGTTCATTTTCTGGATCGCTGCTGCTCCAGACAGAGCATAGATTTCCACTGCATTGAACGTGTCCTCAGCTGAAGCGGCATCCATGGCACGTTTCGTATGCCCCTGCACTGCACGGATCCTGATGGGCCAGTAGGCTAACCCTTTACGGGTTGCCTTCTGGTACCCGGCAATGCACTGGAACTCAAAACGGCACTTGCTGTCCCAGTAGAGAAGGGAAATGAGCTCTTCAACTGTCATTCGGGGCAACTTGGCTGGCAGCATTTGGTTGAACATTCGAAAGAAGTCATCAAGGTCAAGCCACATGTTTTCATCAAATCCAGAGGTGTCCTGACCAGGCTGTCCACGCGTCACTGCATTGACCTTGGTCTTGTGTCGGTCCATGCGATCTGGGTACCTCAGCTCCTTTGCCCCATCCATCTCCCAACAGGTTTTGACGATCAATTCGTAGGGATGGGCATCAACGACACAATGTTCAACTACTTCTGCATTTATGTTTTCGTCCAAAGTGATACGATATTTGTCAAGGTGTCCAAGTGCATGTTTCGGAATGATGGTACCCTTGATCTCGTTTTCTTGCAGGGGCTCACCAGTTGAGGTGGCCTGAGTTGAATCCTCCTGTGTCGTCTGAGGTTTCGCCTTGGGGTCAGGCGGAGCTGCGTGGCTGGCCTTGGCCTTGCCAACCGATGGGCCCTCATGCTCATCGGGATCCAGAGCATCCCATGGGTCGCCTTCTTCATCCAGAGCATCCCATCGCCTTCTTCAGCGACACCAGCATCGGTCGGGCGAGCTCTCAACTCCTCTGCTGTGAAGCTTTCTGGGGTCGAGACGCTCGGTGCAGATTTGTTCGTCTTCTCACGGAGAGCATTGAGAACCTGCACAAACCTGACTGGGAGGTGCTCCATCTTTGGTGGGACATCACGCATTGTAGCTTCTCCTGCAGGGCGCCTGCGCTTGTACAAAGACAGGTTGTACTGAGGAATCAAAATGTCCGTCATGTGCAACATGTGGAGAGTTGCCATGACATATCCGATCATTTCACTTCGGTTGAGCTCGGTCTCGAATGCGTGAAAGTAGTCCCTGAGCTCAAGCCTCGGTGGAAGCATGTCATTCTGAATCCACCGAATTCGATCGTTGTCACTGGCAATCTCCTTGTGGAACCATTCCTTCAGTCGATCAACAAACGTGGTGAAGATGAGACTCAATCCATAAGTGAGCGGGTCGGGCTCGCCGATTAGGGCGGCCTGATCCACTCCCAATTCCTTGAGCTGATTGTTCCACCACACGATGTTGCCTTTGACCCTGTCCATGATGGCATTCCAGTCACCCTGTGGTTCCCTCTGCCCCCAAATGGGAAGGGGTTCAACACCATATTCCCCACAAATTTCATTCCCAGACCAAAAGATTACCGAAATAACCCTGATGGCTGATCCATGAGAAGAATATTTCGCCATCAGCTCCTTGATCATGGAAACATTTGCTTTGCAGAGCTGTTGCAAATCCTTACCCCAGAGCATGTCATGACCGATTTCGAGAACCATGTCCGACTTTCGCAATCCCAGATCCTCCTTCAAGGTGTACTTCTTCAAAGTCTTACCCTTTCCAGTGATCAGAGCCAAAGTTGAATCGGAAGTCACCACATAGATGGTGGGCACGACGTCTACCGCCGGCCTTGATGTCCCAGGGACGTACTCAGTAGGCAAGCTCAGATCCCACAGCGAGTCATGTTCGAGCTCGGACAGATGGCGGATCTCCTTTGCCCACGGCACGTTCGTCAGGGCGTCAGTTGCCATTGACTGCGCAGTGAAACACTGCATGAATCCTGCGGCCAGCTCAAGGTCTTCTGTCCTGTTGCCCTGTGCCAGGATGGTTGACGAAGCGAGGACCGTAGAAAAGATGTCCTCCCACTCTGCGTGCCTATCCCCCTGAACATCAAGGCACTTCCGAAAAGCAAGCCGCTCCGACATGTTGCTCTGTTGGGGCACGGTCTTTAAACCGGCCGACTTGAGAGCCCGCACGTTCATCTTGTCAGTGATCGACAAATTTGAATCATCAGAACGGCGGCTCATGGCGGGCAAAGCTAACCTTTTCCTGTTCTTGGCGGTTTGTGCCTGGTTAGCTCTGGAACGGAAACAATCATGGATGAAGTCAGTCAACTTGAATGTGTAGTTCTCTGCAAGCTTCAA